GTCTCGAGTAAATAGCCTTGTTGTGGCTACATCACATATCTTTCTCTCGACTATACCTAACATTCCCTGTGTGGATTCCTAATTCACCCGTCAGAATCTCATTTGGGGTTCCTTTATGTACAGTGATTTGTTGAAGAGATGAGATAGATATTTTGAAACTATTACTGTTTATTTACTCTGGTCTTGTTTTGTAACTTCCTTCTGCCTCGCCGGCAGTCGTCGCTTATAACTTCAACAACAATGTTGATGAAGAGCTTTCTTAAACCTAACATCCCTGTGTGGATTTTGGGGCTCTCATTTGGGAGGGAGGGGGGGGGGGTAGACCCACTGCCCCCCGTAAAGCCTGTTGTAAAATGGACTAATTTTCTAACAAGTGCCTCTGCCTGAAAAGTATGGACCCCACAGTCTGCTTACACATAAGCAAGATCAATAAAACAGGTGGGCACGCAAAACTTTAAGTTCTGGAACATGACTAAAGTCCAGAAGTTGACGAACAGCTAGAATTTTCCAATGCTATGAAGAAGAAGAAGGGCAGTTTTTATCAAATGTTTTTCAAAACATAACTTGTTAGAACTGAAGGAAACCGAATTTATCGTCAACATCGCTATGCATTGCCTGTTGTGTTTTCTTCTCATTGCACTCTTTATGCAGCATTGGCTGGAGCGGAGTATAGGCAGCCTGCTGACCCGCTGCCTCCAAATCGTCGTCTTTTACCACTGGTCTCTGATTGTTTCCGGTGTGTCGCTCCCAATCCCGGGTCTTGCGCCTTGCGTTGGTTTCGACAGTAGTATCCAGAAGCCGACCGTCCAGAAAGCAATGACAAAATACTGGACGTAAATTTATCCTAGAGAAACCACAAAGCCAAAAGTGCTAGGGTGGCTTCTTGACTGTCCCGTAAAGGATACGCAACAAACTTTTTTTTTTTTTTTACGTATCCAGAAACCATGAGTTGTAAACCCTTAGGCTCGGTACTATGGATATCGCAACCCTTCGGCCTTGATTCCATTATAGGTACCGTTAATCTGGGAGAAATGTGGCTTTTCTGCCTACCCCCGGGAGTGAACCCGGACCACAAGGAGTTCGTCACCCGGCCGCCGCGAAAGTCAGGTTTAACCAACTTCGCTAGAGAGCCGGGCGCAACAAACTTTTAACTTGTTATATTAAGCTGGAGATTGTCAGGAAAGGACCCTTTCCGACACCCTCGGGCATATTGGGGCGTATAAGACTAGATCTATATTTTTTTAGACCAGTCGGCATTCGGTGGAGGATGTGGTCAGCATCACGTCGGCCGCCTATACTTCCCTTAAAAAAAAAAAAGTCTACGCGAACCTAATCACTGAATTCATGATCTGCAGCCTGTAAGGCCGCTAGGCGAATCCTACTCTGTAGGCTGTACGCCATTTCATCTATTTCTTACTCCTTAAACAAACTCACAAGCAACTGTTGCGGCCGACGGCAAACATGCCGTGACCTGCTGTATCTCCCGGCTGTTTGAAATATGGTGAGCGGTGTTAACCTGTTGCCACATGTCCCGCCCTGTTAGATGTACGTACAATCTTCCCGCTCACTGGCATTCCAAATATGCCAGTCTAGACTTTTTTTTGTGTGTATGTAAACCCTTCCAGTTTATCTGCTAGTTTTCTGTGTCCAGGTTTTTATCTTGTTCTCGTCGCCGGCCATTTTGAAATGTTCTGAAGATATATAAAAATGTATACTGATTGCATATGGTAGAACGGAATGGAGGAATAGACTTCGAACGCTGTGAGGCATATAATGGTACCACGGGATAAGGTTAGTTGCGTATCTTTTACAGGACGTTGCAGAACCAACCCGGTTCGTTTTTCTAGGCAAATTTACGTCCAGTAGTTTGCCTTTGCCCTGGACGGTCGGCTTTCTTGATACCACTGTCGAAACCAGCGCAAGGCGCATGGCCCGCAGCTGGGATCGAACCCGGCATTACGAAGCGTTCGCATCGACTTAGCCACAGAGCCGACTACTACAGGATAGAGATTTAATTAAAAGGCAATTAGGGATAATTTAAATATCTGTGTTGAAAGTCACGGTATCAGAGTGGTCTGGACGTTTGCCTGCTGACCTGGCTGTCGTAGGTTCGATTCATCACCATGGAGGATTTTCACACTGGATCGGGGCTACCCTCCCCTTTTCTCCCTGTCCGTTTCTATCCCTCCCTCTTCACTCTCTCTCTCTCTCTCTCTCTCTCGTTCTGTGTATGTTTGTGTTTCTAGCAAATCCTGTGATAGATAAAAGAAAACTGACTGAAAATCAAAAGGGCAACCGCCGTTTTTGGGACCATATTTGGGCCGGTTACCATCTGCCCAGTTATAGTCAAGACGAGGGACATGGGTCTTTTCAAATTTTATTTGCATGAACGTAGGCATCACTACTACTACTACTTCTTCTTCTGCTTTTCCTCATCCCCTCATCCCTTTTCTGCTTCTTCTCCTCCTCTAGTCCTAAAAGGTTTAGTTTGTACATTGTGTTGTAGCGATATCTGCGCCTTTCAGCCCAACGCATCCTATCAGAAAACCTTATATTATTCTTCTTTTACAGTATGCCGCTTAGAGGGCGCCCCACAAACATCTATCTGCTCCGGTATCTGAATGATAGAGTGATATAAAATGAACCGGCTAACATGAAGACCTGGAGTTTGATTCCTCTGTCCCCATGTGGGTTCCAGGGCACCACCATTGTGGAGAAAAGAATAATGGAGTCAATGCCTTTCCAACAAGCTGTTGTAAGAGTCGACTAATTGGGGTCTTCCTGCGAAGTCGAATCGCGTCTGCCCGAGAGGCAAGGAACCAACAATCAGCATGGAAGTAAGTCAGGACTGTAAAACGGATGTATGCCTAACACTCCGGATTTGGAACACGACTGAAGTCTGGAGGTGGACGAACAGCTAAAACTTTTCGCCGGAGTTTACAGCCGGTGAACGCGAAGAAAAAGAATAAGAAACCCCAGTGAAATGTTACACATAAGACTTGATTAAGACAATTAATAGCTTGTTAGCAGAAATGCCAGAATATAATCTCAGGATAAAACCTGTCTTGCCAGACAGGCATATAATGTCTCTCATGGATAATTCAGTTAAATGTTCTTATTTGAAGTCACTGTCGATGTAAATGATTAGAGAACCCCTGTTGTACTTTTGTTTTCATAATGCGTTCAAAGTCATTTTTTAAAGCCTTTGATGTTTTAAAGTGTACTGCCAGTGTTAGATGTTTTATTATTTTGTGCGTGCTTAAAGTATGTTTTTAAGTATACTTTGTATGTGTGATAATTTTCATGCATTTTTGAACATTGATGTCAAATCGTTTTTACTTTTTCTTTCATTTTGACTTCATTGCTTGCTTTATTATCGATGATCATATTGGGTTTTTTTTAAAATGCAAAAATAGAAAAATGTCATATGTGTAGGGTAGTTGTGTTGTTGATTGGCACAGGTGTTGAGCTACGTACACACATATAAACTGTATTTATCATTTTTGTTTTATTTTGTTTCTTTTCGATTGTATAGATTGCCTTGTAGAATTCATTTCTGTTTAAAACAATTCTTACTTAGTTGTTTGTAGAATGTTGTGAAATGTATTTATTAAAAAAAAAAAATATAATCAATTGCATATTTGGACATCACATGTTGGACTACCAGGTTTATATTTTGTTGTTGACCTAATGGGCCTTTGATTTTGTGTGTGTGTATATATTGAAATGCTGGCTTGTTTATTTGTTGTGTAATGAAGATTTCAGATTTGTTGTTGTTGTTGTTGCCATGTAATTTTTCTTGTTTCCTCAATTTCATTGAAATCTTCTGTATAAAATATTTAATTTAAATTGACTGAATAGCCTTGTGCAGTGAAGCATGGTGTGTGTGTGTCTATGTGCATGTATGCCTGCATGCCTCAAAGCGTGCCTGGCTTCATGTGTGCCCGTATGCATAACAAATATATATATATATATATATATATATAGGTTAGTTGCGTATCCTTTACAGGACGTTGCAGAACCAACCCCAACAGCCCCTGGCTGTTGTGTGGGTTTTCTAGGCAAATTTACGTCCAGTAGTTTGCCATTGCTTTCTGGACTTTGGCTTTCTTAATACCATTGTTGAAACCAACGCAAGGCGCATAACCTGCAGCTGGGATCGAACCCGGCATTATGAAGCGTTCACATCGACTTAGCCACGCCACAGAGCCGACATATATATATATATATATATATATATATAAATATATATATATATATATATATATATATATATATATATATATATATATATATATATATATATATATGTAAATAGTGATACATTATCAAAGTTTTCATTGTCATTGTTGGTAAATAGACGTAACAGATACATTTTTTTTGGAGAGTGGTGTGTGCATGCACATACAGGCATTTAAATTGATATCTAAGAGTGTAAAGTGGGAATTATTTTGAAAAGATCACTTACCACACCGTTGAATGTATTGGGCATTTAGCATACTAGACCTATATTTGATAGATCAATCAGGTGAGTGATGTTGTAAACATCACACTGACCATCTTTACTTCCCAATACTTTACCTAGTGTTGTACTAAGGCTTGGTCGACCTGGAAGCCAAGGTCGTATTGAAATAAAGGCCCCAAAAATAATGCCCTGGAACCTACTAAAGGATAATTTGCTTCATTACTGACATGAATCTCTGAGTAGCTGTAACTGAGCAGAAATATCAATACATTTTAAAATAATTTTTCAGGCTAGACTGTTTAATATCTTTAACAACAATGACAACATTAACTACAATAATAATAACAAAATAATAATAATAGTGATATAATAGTAACATCATTATTTTTAGGCCTTCAAAATAGCATCCGGTTATTTTGAAACATTCAGTTAAATAACTTTTGATTTTGTGTGACTGCTTGAGAATGTAAATATTCCTTACAAAATTCATGACGGTTTGGTCTGACTTACTGACTTTTTAATTTGATCTCAACAGAAGCGTAAAATGCTTGGTGACTCGACATCAACACAAGTACTTCGGGACCTAGAAATATCTCTCCGAACTAATCATATAGAGTGAGTACATTGTTACAAGTTGCTGTTATAATTTTAGTGCACAGTATCAAAACTCAGTTCTAAGAAAAGATGTCCTGTGATGAGAAAATGTTCTTCTTCTGCAATCATCCTCAAATGGTTGGCACAGTGCATTATGGTTTACAGCTAGTTTGCAGTATCTGTGAATTTTCTTTCAGCATTGCACCAGTTAGTTGCCTCTTAGGACATTCTTGTGAGGAGGGCAGTTGGTCTGTTCTTCTTCACCCAAAAATGTGGGCTGTGGAACCCACATGAGGACATAAGAAAATTGACCTTACCATGCTGGGTTTCATCCCATCTGGCTCAGCCAACTGCTGAAGCTGATGAGCAAAACACGGTGTCTAAAGCTTTAGCGATACGCCCAGAAGTCACAGAAAAATTGTCTTTTTGAACTGCAAGGCAGTAGTGGAATGAACCCATGACCTTTAGAGTATGGAGTCGCTAAGACTCATCACCATTATGACATCTTCTGCAAACTGTATTGGCTGTTGTTGTTTGTTTGAATCTCTCATTGATGTTGAAGTAACGGACCATGCAACAGTAGTAACTCAGCCAGGTGCCATCTCCGCAGTGAAGATTGGCTGCAATAGATCACCCAACACATTCTGTCTCTCGTCCTGGTTGTATACTCTCTAAGACTGCTATTTGTTCATCTCTGGATTTTATCCTCTCTTTTGTATCCCTGTCTACATGTTGCTCAGTTGCCTTCAGTTTTGTCTCTGCAATTTAGTTTTTATAAGAATCTTGTTTCTTTTATTGTTGCTGAAATATTGTGTTTATCTGTACAAATTTTTTTTGGGTTTGGAAACAGCTCTTTAGTTATTCAGTTTTTTTTTTACAGCCTCTTTTTTCAACACACGCCCTCTCCACATAAAAAAAAAAAACAACAACTACATATTGCTGCATAAACTCCCTGTGTGAGTTATGGGGCCCAATATGGTGGTAGGTGGGTGGAATAGACCCACTACCCCCTGCCCCCAGACACGCATGTTATGTAAGTTGGCTCATTTGGGGTGTATCCTTTTAAGCCATAGCACATCTGCCTGAGTTGAGGAACCAGCAGTCTGCATACAAATAAGTGATATCTGTAAAATGAGTGTGCACGCAGAATTCAAGTTCTGATGCATTAGACTAATGTCCAGAAATAGATTGAACAACCAGAAATTTCTGCCCGAGCTGAAAAAGCTCCACAAACAGATCAGATGTAAGCTTGCACTCAGGAATAGAGCATCTGTTTCAAGAGTCATGCTGTGACTGTGAAATTCTCAAAACGGCTCAAGAGAAAATTTAAGAAAAACCAAAATATACCTACTCATACGTTGTACCAACCCATATGATTAAAAGATGCCGTGTTTTTAATTGTTAACTATTCTGTTTTTATATCAGATTTTATCTGTATTTCATATATGTTGGCACTGTGCTTTCTTTTCTGCTTTGCATTACGTAAACACAATTTTTGCAGATGGGTGCGAGAATTTCTAAATGAGAACAACAAAGGCTTGGATGTGCTTGTGGATTATCTGTCCTTCTCTCAGGTGGTAATGAGGTATGACAATTTTTTTTTTTAAAAACTGTACTGCAATTATCTGCAAATTTCTTGATCTGTGTTTTATACACAACTTTCCCTAACTGCATCATGGCCAAAATAGTATTTTTTTTCTTAAACAAAATGGTGTTTTCACATACTTCTTTAGACAATTTTTTGAATAAAATCTAGACCTCGTTAGGCACTATAAGCAAAAATAGTGGAACAAACAGAAATCTTAAAACCAGAAATCAAAAGAGAAGATAAATAAATCAAGTTAAAAGTCCCATCCCAGATGGCTTGGTCTCTCTTTGCAGAACAGTTAGCCACCTGCTTGAACTCTGTAGCTTCAGTCATGATCCCTAGGGACCTCAGAATAATCTGCGCTTGTAAATTCAATGACATGTAATTAAAATGAAGCTAAGGGATCATTAGAGCGTACAGGAAATGGCTTGACCTCTTTTCCACAGAGACAACACCCCCACCCTAGATGAATGCAAAAGCCAAGAGGAGCTTCTATCATCATCATGTGACAGTTTCTTTCAAGATTGCCTCTGTCATTAGGGCATGCTGGAACGCCCCTTGATCCCCTGTCAGCTTTCCCATCTCATAAACTTTCATGCTCAGGGTGTCCTTTATATCTTATGCCAACCATCATGCTGGGAACTTCCATATGACTATGAAATTTCTAGATTTCAAAAGAAATTGAGCCTGCTAGAAAACTCCATATTTAATTATTACTGTTATTACTGATTGAAATGAGTACTGGTGTAATCAAGTAAATAAAGGAGCCTTTTCATGCCTTTTGATACATCAGGGATAGGATGCTAGGCTTGTATTTTCTGTTGTTATAGACATATCAGCACTTGATGAGTGATGTGGTCAACATGACACAGCCACCTTTACTATCCAGGACGTTAACTGATATCTGTTTGAGACTGGGTCAGCATGGGAGCCAAGATTATTCTTTGAGGAAAAACATCTACCTCCATGTGGTTTTGAACCCTGGACTTTCAGGATAGCACTGGAGTTCTCTAACTTCAGTGTGTTTTTGAGGGGTAGGGGTAGAGAGAGAGAGAGAGAGAAGAGAGAGAGAGAGAGAGAGAGAGAGAGAGAGAGAGAGAGAGAGAGAGAGGGGGGAGGGAGAGGAGAGAGAGAGAGAGTATAACTCAATACCATCAGGTGGCATCTCTACGGGGAAGGGTGGCTGCAAGCAATCTCAAGTCAACTAGATATCTAGATGGAATAACTAAAAGTAGTTATTTGTTATTTATGATATGAGCTTCATTAAGGACAATTATGGCTGTGTGGCTTGAGGTTAGTGAATATTTTTTGCAGTTCGTGATTCTCAGTTACTAGGATTTACTTTCTGCCGCGGATGGTTTATTTATTACAAAAATTTCATGTTTTCATGGTTTTTGAACAGTGGTGCGAGAGTCACACCACAGATGAAATCGGTGCCTCACCACATATTCACAAAGTAAATAGTGGTTACCACTGTCTCATATAATTTTTTTTTGTCTGAATAAATTAAATCCAGTGTTGCCACTTTTCTTTGACAAAAAATATCCAAAATGGTGTCAAAAATATCTAAAAAGATCTAAATCTGCGTCGAAAAGATCTAGAAAAAACATCCAAATAAAGTCAAAAATTACATAGTTTTGTTTTTTTAAGATTTCAGTATAAGGTTATGAGGACATACATTATGATAATAGTTTTCAGTTTTATACTGATTTTGTATCTTTCTAACATCTTGACATACATTAATGATACATATTTTTATGTATTTTGGTTTTATTTTCATTTTCTGTTCTTTTTTTATATCTTGTTCTATTTAACATGTATGTTTTTAGGCGGGAACAACTTTTAAATAATGAGAAAACATCAAGTCTGGACTCAGGCCTCAGCCGAAGCCCAAGAAGACATCTTAAAAGGTCAAACACAATAGGGTCACCTCGTAGCTCAAAACACATCAGCAAGCTCAACATGGGAGAAGCCAGAGATGATGTTCATGTCTGCATTATGTGTTTACGGGCAATCATGAATCATCAAGTGAGTTTGGGCTGTGTTGATACAATGTTGAAAATGTGGTTGTTGTAGACATTATAAAAATGAAACAAAGATACACTGTTTAAACATATAGATTATAGTTGGATTATGTAGTTTTTGTTTTTATTTTTCTTTCTCTTCTATTTTGATAATGGATATTTATGCTTGTCGGTTACTTTTGGTTATTTAGTCCGATCTTGGTTCGGCATCCCCATTCTGTGTGTGTGTGTGTGGGGGTGGGGGGTGGGGGGGGGGGTGTAATAGGTTATCCACTACCCTAGTAACAAGCATTTTGTAAAAGCAGACTAATTAGCCTTACACAGACGATACAGTTTTGATAACTGAAAGCTCAGCTGATTTACAGCAACTGCTGAATATTGTGGGGATGGGGAGTGCTGAATATTAAGAAAACGAAAGTAATGGTTATATTAGAGAAAAAGATAATTCCACGTGATATCTCAGTTGAAGGAAAAAGACTTGACCAAATCAGTCAATTCAAATATCTGGGAACAGTCATATCATCAGATGGAAAATGTGTGACAGAGATTAAAAGCAGAATAGGTCAAGCTAAGTCAGTTTCAGAAAATGAAAAATATCTTATGCAATAAGTCACTCTCATTTAATATAAGAAAGAGAGTGCTAAAATGTTACATAGAGACTGTTCTGTTGTATGGCAGCGAATCTTGGAATGTTAGTGAACATATTAAGAGGAATTTAGAAGCAACAGAGATGTGGTTTCTGAGACGAATGTTACTAATACCTTGGACAGCCAGAGTAACTAACAATGATTGTTGGAAAGAAGCTAAAGAACGTAGATATCTATATACAGCAATAAGAAGGAGACAAACACTGTTTTTTGGCCACATAATGAGAAGTGAGGCGTTGGAAAACATCATGACAGCTGAAAAGATCAGTGGAAAGTGGGGTAGAAGCAGACCAAGAGAGATGATGCTGGATGGGCTGAAACGATGTCATGGAGGGATATCATCAAGAGAGCTGTTCAAGGCAACCAGGGATCGTGATCTGTGGAGACGCATGTGTGCCTACACCAGTTGGCAGGGTATGTGATGATGATGATGAGACAAAGCCAAAATGTATCTGCCTAAAAAGCAAAGAACCAACAGTCTGCTTACAAATAAGCCAGATCAGTAAAATGGATGTGCATACAAAACTTGAGTTCTGCAACAAGATTAAAGCCCAGAAGTGGACAAACAACCAGAACTTTCCTCTGAAGTTTACAGCTGGTGAACATGAAGAAGAAGATGTATTAGTTATTAAATATTGTAGGGGTATAGGTTGTTGTTTTTTTTTTTTTTTTTTTTTACATTTAAAGGGTACTTTTCAAATAATTGTGATAATCATGTTGTATAATCTGTCTTTGACAATATTAGAAGTTGAAGTTAAAGTCTAGAGGATCAGTTTCGTTGCACTGGGTTTTATCCCATGGGGCTAGGTCTTTCTCTGCAGAACGGCTATCTGCCTGCCCCAGAATGCAGTGCAGAGCACGAACCCAGTAGCTCCAGCGACAATCCACTGGGATCTCTGTACAAATTGCACTCACCAGCTGAAGGGCACAGCTGTGGAACAAACCCATAACCTTCAGAGCGTGCTCCAATTGGCTTGACCGCTTCGCCCCAGAAACCCCATGAAGTGATGTGGGGTACCATTATTCTCTCTTGTAATATGTTAATACCTCATGTGCAAACCTTTGTTTTTATGTTGTATTGTTTACTGCTTTCCTGTAGTTCTCTATTGCAATGTGTTGAACATTTTTAGCACACCATCTTTTAATTTGGTCTAAACTATGGATGTGTCCGAAGTGCCATAAACATAACCCAGTTCATAACTCACAATGTTGTCTCTACTGAGTAAAGCTCCAGATAATGTCCACCAATCTATCCATCTGCTTTTTCTTATGGGTAATAATTTCCCCAGTGAGGTCTTTTAGTGATGTACTATTTGTCTCATAGTTAGGCAGATGGCCTTCTTTAACCCTTCATACATGCCTCTAATGTTTTAAATTTTGCTAGCATTTTGAATGCTTTCACATACCTGGATGCAATATCGTTTGTATACTGTTGCCTTTTGAAAATGCTTTGTAGATACTTTCAATTCAAAGAAGTGTTCCTGTTTCTTTTCTTGTTTCTCAGGACTAAATTTTTCTTTCAGTCAAAGATTTAGTGTCTGATTATTTATCTCAAAACAGTCTTGACTTCTGTATTCTCTGATACCATTTACTTTTGCAGCTGTTTTATAGTCAGCCTCCTCAAACCCATGCTTGCCTTTTTGGATGTCAGTGAAAACATCTTCAAACTGTTGTTGGAATTCGAAAAAAAATTTTTATGATCTTTTTGGTCTGAGAAATATTTATTGTAGTGATGAATGGGTTTCTTGGATTTAAGTACTGATATATTATTATATTAAAATCTATTGTTTTATCCACAGTACTAATATTGAAGTACATATATAAGCATTATTTTTTGTCTCCACAGTATGGTTTCAACCTTGTCATAGCTCACAAAGATGCCATTAACTGTATCGCACTCAGTCTCAACCACAAAAGTTTACGGTAAATATATTCTATATACAGCCCCCTTTAGTCTGGTTATTTTTGGTCTGCCATATAATTCTCCTGCAAATGATTTGTGCTGTCTCATCACACTTTTGATTGTCTTATCCAAATTTTTTCATTTTCACTATTTATTAGTCTCAGCCACATCTCCCGGCATTCAAATTTTTTTTGTCTGTCATCTAATTCTGCTGTATATAATTTGTTTCTTCATATACTGTGCTGTCTCATCATCTTTACTGCATGTATCTCGCTGTCTCATCCAAGTCCTTTTATTTTTGCTCTCTTTTTGTTGAGGCACTATTTTTGCCTCATCTTCTGTCTTTCATCACCTAAATGAACATCTTTACTGCATGTATCTCGCTGTCTCATCCAAGTCCTTTTATTTTTGCTCTCTTTTTGTTGAGGCACTATTTTTGCCTCATCTTCTGTCTTTCATCACCTAAATGAACATCTTTACTGCATGTATCTCGCTGTCTCATCCAAGTCCTTTTATTTTTGCTCTCTTTTTGTTGAGGCACTATTTTTGCCACATCTTCTGTCTTTCATCACCTTAATGAACACGACCAACCCACATATTCTCTTGATATTCATTAGGTTTGTGGAATAGTTCTTACCATTGTCTATTTCAGTCTAATTATCATCTTTCCAGATATGTCCATGCTGATCAATGCCAGCAGCAAGGCAGAGAACTATCTACTGATCAGTCTGACTAGTTGTATCTGCAAACTAATGGAAGGACTGGTTTACAACAGGCTCACTAGGTACCCGAAGAGAATTGGCATCGTTATAAGTTATAGATGATGATCAGTGTGGATTCGGAACTGGCAGATAAAATAAGGACAAAGTCTCATACATATTCCACATGATAGAAGAGGACTATAGAGAAAAAAAAAATTATAAAGCAGCGATATGGGTTGACATGGAAGAAACCTTTGACCTTTGACAGTCAAACTAGAGGCTTAATATTAAAAGTAAGAAGATACAAACAGGATCACCCACAAAATCAAATAATACCTGTGTTGCAGCAAAAAAGCAGGGTGTGCTACAAGGAGACGTAATTTCCCTAACCTTTTCTGATCTACCTAAAGAGTCTCGAGCAGGTATTATCCCCCAGCATCAAGACTGCCCTCTGCACTAATGACAGGACTCATTTGTTGAGAGCTGTCTTGGATTTGCCTTTGTAAGACTGCAGTCAAGCCATGACAGACTCAAACAATGGTTACCAAATTGGGCCATGATAATCCACTCTTTCAATAGCTGGATGTCTGAAAATGGATTTACTAGAGGAATCATAGTGTCAGATTCTCAGTCAGTTTTGTCCAACATTAATAAAGAATATGTGTGGCAATAATGGATACCAAGCATCAGCACATCCACACTACAGAGACTCACTTGGATATACTGTCTGGGACATGCAGAAACTCAGGGTAATGAAAGAGCAGATTTGTTTGCTACAGATGTGACATTGGTAGAAACACTCATACTGGACAAAACAGGCATTCTGACGACAATTTATCAATGAACCCCTAAGGAAGCCATGATGTTAGGTTAAACTATGTGTAAGTTTGTGTGAGTTTGGAATTATGTGCAGATCCAATAAGAAAGGTTGTATGAGAGGAAGAATAAGATGTGTATAGAACCCGTGTGCTACTGGAACATTTAGTATCTGCACCTTAAGACAGCTGCTTTAGGAGACAGCCTCTATGGGTATGTCCAGTATCATCATCATCATTGTCCTGTTGGACCATTGGATGTCATATATGGTTTACAGTATATTCCTCCATTTCGATCTGTCCTGTGCAATCAGTTCAGTATCATGAATGGAATCCGTTCCAGCATCTTTGGCCTCTCTCATCAGTTTTCGCTTTTAGGGTTTCTTTTGGCCATCCCTGTTTCCTCAGTCCATTTATTTTCCCATTTCATGCTTTGTTCATCTTTTTTCAGGATGTGTCCAATAGCCTGCAGTGTTCTTCATCTTATAACTTGTTGCCCAGACATTTGTCTTATTTCTTCACCCCTATTGAATTTATTCCATTTTATGTTTAACATTGTCTTCAGGCATTGGTTTTCAAATGTATTTAACTTTCTTTCAGTGAGATCAGTGGTTCTCCAGCCTTTTAGTGGCATATGTTTAAATTGAAATATCATTAGGACTGAAAATAAGTAACTTGGTTTTAAACCTTTACTATTTAGAGTTCCATATTCTGTTCAAGTTTTTAAAAGCTGCTGTCGCTTTGCCAATGCATGCCATAATTTCTTTCTTTGTATTTCCTTCACTATCAAAATGCTACCTCAATAAGTAAATTGATCTGTTACTTTAATTCCTTTGTCTCTAGTGTTACATCTGCTTGATCTGTGATTGGTTTCTTCAGTATATTTGTCTTTCTTTTATGTTACTCAATTGTAGTCCAGCCTTTGATGCTGTTTCCAGTATGCTATAACGTCAATTCGTAAATCAGTGTGGCTGTTGAAATATTGATTTGCCGAGAGCTGTTAAGAAGGCAGTCTGAGAGTGGCATATTTTTGTTCTGTTACATAGTTTATGTTGTGAGAATAATATTTATTAATGCACAGTTTACTTGAATGAATGAAGGAAGCTGAACAAACAAGTAATTTTGGTACATTTGGTATTCTGACAGAACCAAGGCGTTAGTACTGGAGTTGTTAGCAGCTGTATGTTTAGTCAGTGGAGGACATGATATTATTCTTTCAGCATTTGACAATTTTAAGGAAGTGAGTACAAGATTGCTTGTATGTTTAAAAAAAAACCCCCACATTCTTTGTGTATTTTCTATCTTATCATCTTGTTGTGCTATGTTAAATAGGGCTCACAGTCCTTCATTCTAGTATATCCTGTGCAAACCTCTCGATATCCTGGATGAAATCTAGCTCAGCACCTTTGACCTCTCACAGCATTGTTCATCTTAAGGTTGTTCTTGGATGTCCTCATTTCACAAATCCGTTCATTTCCCCTTATTTGCATAAATTTGGTTCTCTGTTGCTTCTTATGACATTCCCTCCATCTTTTTTTTTTTAATAACTGTGGTTATATAGACATTTCTCTTATCTCTTTGCCTTTCTGGGATTCATCCTATTTAACGTTCATCAGTTAAGTATTTATTTTAGAATACATCCTTTATCCTCTTCTGTCTCTAATTTTGTTCTGTATTTTGTGGTTTCCTTCTATAGGACTTATGAGTTCCATTAAAAGGACATTTTAGTTAGACAAAGTATTATCATATTCTCTCATAGTGTGTCGAATACAGCACCAGGACTTTTTCCTTACGTCTCGATTTACCGGAATTTAGCGTGTTGCTAATTTCAACAAATTAAAATTAATCATTATCTTTGTTTTGCCCAACCTGTCAATCCTCACTAGCAACATATTGCATCAGTTTGTGTGTTGAAATTTGAATGTTTTGATGAAGGGCTGTCAAAAAAATTATCTCACACTATCCTATTTTCCATAAATATTTCCATTGCAACATATTCAGTTTTTTGGGTTCATATAAATGTTGCTGAAAAATGCAGCGTCTTTCTGATGTATGATACAAATTCTCATGGTTATAAAACAGATTTTTAAAAATTCCAGTTATTTATTTGATAAAGTAGAATCATTATCTTTGCAGGTATCTTATAGAACAGCAACACACACATTTCTGTGGAGAAAATCACTAATTATGTCAATTTAGGTTTTTTTAAACACCATTTGACACTTGGCATCATCATCAAGAGAAAGAAAGGGCAATTCAGAGAGATGAATAAAGGGAATGATATCTGCAACAATCAACCTCAAGGGGTCAGAATGCAGAAAAAGAAGAAGAAGATATTTGAAAACACATATTACCAACGCTTATTTTGAAATACATATTACCAATGCTTATTTTGAAATTTGAAAGCCTGCCCATAAAAGAATGCTTTTAGCATGTGGGATTCTGGTATCAATTTCTTTATTGTTGCTGAGTTCATGCTCTGCGATTCTTATAGTAGCACAGTAATTTTAAACAACAATATGCCGTTATACCCATCTGGGTTGTAATTGGGATATGCATACAGTTTTCTTTTCTGTTTTGATATTGGGTATTTATGCTTGTCAGTTTCTTTTGGTTATTTAATATTGCATAAATTGTGTATTAATTATGACAGAATGTAGGAGGATAGACTCTTCTTGTGTGCAGTCTGAGAGAAGATTGGTGTGAATGTGAAGATAATCATTTGCATTGAAATTGATACTTGATAAATCTGACTTTACCATTTATTGTACAGTTATGTAAAAAAATTTTTGTTTTGTTTGCAGGTATGTGGTGAACGACATAGATTTGAAACTCTTATGGACTATTTTAAAAATTACGAAGAATTCCACATAGACTTTATGGTAAGTATGACTTGTATGTTGCCTCTTTACATGTTAACTTAAATGGGCTTTGAAACTGCTACTTTTATTTTAATTCTGCACATTTATCTCTAAATTACTTTTACCGGCTACATGATTAAGCAAGCTGTATAGAGGAATAAATAATCTACGCTGTTAATGATACATTATTAACAATCTTTGATTTTAGGTATGGATAAAAACTAAAACATTCACTAACAGATTAAAAATATCCCTTAATTGGTGCTTGTACAGAATAAAAGATAATAAATGGTATGACAGAATCACAGTATGGGCTTTAAATGATAATTGATTGTCAATAAATTAAGAAGTGAAGGAGAAACTAACATTGGATAGGACACACATTAAGAAAAGCTGATGTTATTGTAACCAGAATGCCCTTGCACTGGAACCCACAGGATCATTTAAAGAAATGGGAGAACCACAGAACACATAAATGGAGAACAAATTGGAGATAGAAGTTGAAAAAAGAGGCGAGTAAGATTGCAAAATGTTACATGAGTAGGAAAATGATTAGCCAGACAGACTTGCTGATTCTGCACCATTGAATGATGAATTAATTCATGCATGGGAAGCTAGATGTAGTCACATCCATCATTTTGGACAATTAATAAAAAAAGCCTAACAATTTCTTGAGGCCTCAGAGATGTGGTTTTACAGAAGAATCCTTGGAATTCCTTGGACAGCTAAAAGGAGCAACCCAGATGTTTTGAAAGAGGTGAGGGCTTAAAAACTACTTATCACAAACATCAGAAAGAAAGTCATAATTTTTTGGGTCATTTTATTAAAAGAGGGACATTGGAACATGTTGTGACCACTGGAAAGATCTGTGGAAAGAGAGACAGGGAGATTCTTGACAGCCTTTTGTCATGACATGGAGTTGTGTCAACAAACATACTGATACACACAGTTGCGGATCGCAGATTGTGGAGAGGCCTGATCGCCCACGCCAGTTGGCAGGGCACTTGATCATGATGTCTACATGCAAGGTGTGTGCTTGTTGTTTCTTCATAGAATTCCAAGATGCCTTTATAAGGGATAATGATGAAAAAAATCTGGGCTTTTGAACTAAAGTGCTGCAGGAAAATTCTTAGGATACTATAGACCAAGAAGAAGAGAAACATTAACACGGCCACTACTTCAAGCCACAAACCAAGAAACTTTAGACAGTATGATTACCAAGAGAAGATGGAAATGGCTTGGCCACGTTATGAGAATGACTTCTGATATACCTGCCAAAACACATGGACACCAGAGGGAAAGAGAAAACAGGGGCGCCCAAAAACAACATGGAGACAAACGATGGAAAGTGACCTGAGTGCGGCATCTTTGACATGGAAAACTGCACTGAAGATTGCACAGGACAGGAAAACATGGAAAGTCCTCTCTGAAGCCTCATGTGCCACTAGGTATAACGAGAACTGATGATGATGATCCTGAGTATCAGGGAGAATTGGCTTACAAACAGCATCCTCATGAATGTCATGGTGGCCTGAAGAGACTGGAGGGTACAGTTTCCCTAAAAAATGAGGCAGATCTCCATGAAGGTGGCTACAAGACATTGAAGATGCATTGTCTATGAAAGAACATAGGGTTGCAGAAATGGCTAGAGAAAGAGAGACTTTCAAATGTGCCGTAACAGGAGCGACATTCTATAAAGGATCTGCTGAACTTTTGAAGGGTGTTTATAGACAAGAAGGGGAAATGTCTTTTATCCTGTATGGCTCCATATCTATTTGTAAAGAAGTTGTTCCTTACAAAGATCCTTGAACAAAATACAAACTTCATAACTCTTTCAGTTGCATCCCTCGTTTTCTGGAGAAGAAAAAAAAAAAGTTAGGCACGCCTATTCTTCTTTCCAAATGTATAGTTCTATATCGTGGTATAGGATGGCATGGGAATCATAGCCCATGGCAGTGAGGATCGGGACCAAGCAAGACCACCTGCACATTAAGAAAAGTCTTCTGTAGTTAGATCATGTGATTTCAGAACCACTGTTGCCATCACATGTATTTCAAATGCCTCTTCTCAAATACATAATGAAACACACTCTTGCCATCACATGTATTTCATATGCTTCTTCTCAAATACATAATGAAACACACTGTTACCATAAACACCTGTCCTCACCAACTAAAGGTTGGAGTTGAAAGTTTATCATGTGACCTTCAAAGTAAAAGGCAAGTGGTTTAATCACATTACTATGGATACTCCTTGGTAATGAACAATAACATTTATTGCAGATTACGTTAAAAAATTTGTGTTGTCTGATGAGTAGCTAACTGATTTCTTGTCATCTCTTACAGGCTGCTTGCATGCAATTTATCAACATTGTGGTCCACTCCGTAGAAAACATGAACTTTCGCGTCCATCTACAGTATGAGTTCACAAATATTGGCCTAGATGAATACTTAGAAGTAAGAATTATTTGTTTGTTTTGTTAAATGTGTATTCAAATTGCATCTTTTAGCCTAGTGTCTTTACATCAATTTTGCTTCTGTACTTTTGACTGTCGTATGTCGGCTCTGTGGCTAAGTCGATGCAAACGCTTCGCTTCGTAATGCCGGGATGCCAGGTTCAATCCCAGCTGCGGGCAATGCGCCTTGCATTGGTTTCGACAGTGGTATCAAGAAAGCCGACCATCCAGAAAGCAATGGCAAACTACTGCTTTTTACTGCTTTTTGCTTTTCTGTCTCGTAGTCCCTTAACATTGCCATGGTTAGATACCGTTTGATCAGTCCGTTTATATCTCATTGTGTTTTCTGTAGCGATAATAAATCCATTGCCGGCTTGCTAGGCCTGTCGCAACTTCACCAGAGCCCCGTTCGCCAGGACCTTTCGGGGTGACCCAGGGTGGCCTTCATGGCTACCGTAGCAGTCCCGTGGCACGAGACCACACCATACTTCGCCCACACTTAGCAATCCCCTAATTTGTCCTGTTACCACCTCTCACGACGAGGACGTGGGGTTGGACTTTGAGAGGCTCAAATGTATCTCTGTATGTGTTCATGTATCTCTGTATGTGTTTATTAGAATTTGATCTTATTGTTGTGAGTGATTAGGTATATGTTCTTAGTGTTTTCATATACATTGTGTGTGTGTGTGTTGGTGTGTGCTGTGTATGTGTGTGCGTGCGTGTATGTCTACGAGCGTGCTCCTGCACATTCTTGTGTGTATTGTATGCTCTCTTTTCTCTGTCTGGCTCTCTGTATCTGTCTGTCCCAGCCCCTGCTCCCATCCACACACATGCACATGAACACACCATGAGAGAGAGAGAGAGAGAGAGAGAGAGAGAGAGAGAGAGAGAGAGAGAGAGAGAGAGAGAGAGAGAGAGAGAGAGAGAGAGAGAGAGAGAGAGATAAACAAGCAGCTGCAAGTCTAATTGCATCTTTGTAACCTTTTTAATTTTCCTCACAGAAACTACGCAACACCGAAAGTGACCACCTGGCAGTTCAAGTCCATGCCTATGTAGACAATGTCATTGATGTGGCCCAGTTGTTGGAAGACTCTGAAACAAAAACTGATGCATTAGAGAGAGTGGCTGAGCTGGAGGAGGAACTGTCACATGTCACAGAGAGATTGGCTGAAGTGGAAGAGGAAGCAATGACTAAAACAGGTGCTTATTAAACTGTGACAGTGTGCCCATGGGAAAACTGTGTACTCATCTCGTTTTAAACCATTTTCATCCCAAGAATAGGGCAAACAAAAACATCATTTAAAAATATTTGTATTTTACTCTGTAAATTCCTGTTGTCGGAGGTTAAAAATATATTTCTTAAATGTTACCAGATTTAACGTATGGCTGTGAATCCTGGACAGTCAGTAAGAAAAAAAACCCATTAAGCCTCAGGGTTATGATTCTGAATGTTGAAAATGTTTAGGGCAGCCAAACTTTTCCTTGTCCATATTCTGCTTTATGCCACTAGGCATCACAGGTTAACAGATGATCAGTATCTGAGCTAGGGCACACTGTATACTGTGATGGTGTGCACTCTCAGGGTATCAGTGACTCCTTCAGTCCATCTTCTTCTTGGTCCTCCTCTACAGTTTGCTGTTTCTACTTTCATGTTGTACGCTCTCGTTGCTGGCATCATTGAATTCATTCTTTTTAAATGGTCAGACCAGTCTTTGTTTTTCCCTAAATTTAGTTATAGGTGTTGTTCCAGCAGTTCTTGTAATTTCTTTGTTTCTCACGTGATGTCTTCTAGTTTTGTTCACGGCTTTTCTCAAAGATCTTATTTTTGCAGGTGGCCAGTTTTCCTTCATGTTAGTAGGTGTTTATTAAACTAAAAATTTTCCTATGCAAACTTACTGATTTTAAACATTTTCCATCACAATAAAAAGAGTAGCGTAAACAAAAGCAACATTTTAAATGAGCAACATTTTGTGCAGAAAATTCCTGTTCTTGGAGATTAGAAACATTTTCTGTAATTTTGTGAAGAACTTCCTTGAGTGGGTTCCTGGGCCCAATTTAGGTGAGGCAAAGAACCAACCGTCTGCATGCAAATAAGCCAGACTTGTAAAACAGATGTGCAAGCAAAACTCAAGTTCTGGAACAAATCAAAAGTTCAGAAGCGGACACACAAACAGAAAAAAATAAGGAGTTAAAGAACCAATATTAACATATAGCTGTGAATCCTGGACAGTTAGTTAAGGAAAAAACCTTCTGGTCTCAGAATTGTGATTTTTTACAGAAGTATGTTGAAAATGCTTGGTGCAGCCACAATCTTCTTCTTTTGTCAATATCTGCTTTGTGCCACCAGGGATCACAGTTTAACACATGACTGGTAGCTGAGCAAGGTCGCACTCTATCACTTGGTGTAGTGTTTTTTGTGTGATGTCTTTCAGTGACTCCTTCGATACATCTGCTTCTAGGTCTTTTGTCTATAGATTTTTCAGTTTTTTTCTTGGTGTACACTTTTGCTGCGGTCATCGCTGGAGTCATTCTCACTAGATGGCCAAACTATTTCAGTCTTTCTTTCGCATCAAATTAGCAAAAGGTATTATTCTAATAGTTTGTTTGTTCTCTTCATTTATCATTCAGTCTCTTTTCCCCAGCCTTTCTCAGAAATCTCATTTCACTGGTGGTCAGTCTTCTTTCAGCCAAAATGTGTAATGTAAATGTTTTGGAAGTTAATATACATAGACATCACAAACATAAGCAGGCAGTTTTTTTTTTTACTTTATGAGAACAGAGGAAAAGAAAAAAATCTTATGAAAAATAAACAGAAAGAGAATAAGGAAGACAATAAAAGAAGGTTGTTGATAACCTGTTGCCCAGACTTGGAAAGATGCCGACACACAAAGGGATAGGTAATTTTAAAAATATAAGATGTGTAGATGCTGGATCAGCCAGTTGGCAAGGCACTTGATGATGTTATGGTATAGCAGGCAGATTTAAAGGCAGAAAAAGCAAAACAGTCATGATTAACTGTTGAAACTTTACACAAGAATAAACAGAAAAATTAAAAAGTTATATACATGCATAAGTTATATTATCACAATTGATATCATCGCACAATGAGCCTTCCTGAGCTTGCTCAGTGTTCCAGTGCAGAAGCCACTTAAATTATCTCTATTTATTGTTCCCATTAGAGGTTACCGTATCTCTCTTGACCTCAAAGATGGCACTGATTTGCTTCACTAGGCCTCATTTTGAGGTCATGCAATTGTGTTTATGTCATCCTTATCCCCCAGCCTAGTCTAAATAGTGTTGATGATATATATTAGCTCTGTCCATACATCTTTCCACATGCAGTTGTGCAATATTTTTTTAGCGGATCCATTCGTTCATTACTTGTTGCTCCAACATCTCCAGATGTGTAGATCTATCCACATGAGGGAGGTTAAGTGTGACTTCCTAAAGTCTGAAAGTTCTAAAATTCATATACCTGTGTATTATTTCACTTACATGAAATGAGTGAAGTAATCATAATTTTCCTAAGTTGGTTTTAGTTATTATGTGATTAAAATGTACATTTTATATAGTGTATTATGGGTTTATTGGCGTTTAGTATGTGTTAATAAATTGTCTTATTTTCTACTGCGGATAGTGTGAGATCTAGTGTTACATTTTAAATCTTTGTTTCATCCATTCTGATTTTCAGTGGAGTTAGAAAAACAGTTGTCAGAAGCAAATACAGAACTCGAAGACCTGCGGGTAAGTTTATTAACCTTATTTGTTTTGTAACTTTTGCTTGTTTTTAGTTTTACAGTTGGGTTGTCACCTTAATTGAGGTAGTAAGGGAAAAAGGTCAGAGAACAAATGTATGAACAAAGTTTATTTTCAGAGCGTTACAAATTAGGCATGCAGGCCTGTCTTACACTCGGCCCTTCCAAACACTTTCACAGACCACAGTTGTATGTTATAAAAAAACATATGTTTACACACACACACACACACATGCGGATGGACGGATGGGCAGAGACGCAGATAGATAGAGAGAGAGATAAGGAGAGATTTAAATTAATTCTTTTCTCAACAAGAAGCAGTCACTGTAATACCTTTGATCAGTTTTAGCAGACATAAATTATTTGTTTTTATCATAATTCACTTGTTTCGGTATCAAGGATCACACAACATATTAATTTCTAACTAATTTAACTTTCCTCCGGTACAAGAAGATTTAAATTCACAATTCCTTTCGTAACAGGAGTTAACGTCAAGGCAGGAGATGGAGATGTCAATGTTGAGACAGACAATCACAGAGAAAGATGAGGAATCTCGTAAGCGGCTGAGTATGCTAGATGCTAAACTGCATGAGCTGGAAACCATAAAATCTCATCCAGGTAAAGTGTGCTTTTGAACTGGGCAAAAGTTTTAGAAGATCTTTGCTTGACTTGCAATAGAGTGCCCGGGACTTGTGTTATTTTTGACCATTGTATATACCTTTTCCATTCCCACTTGGTCTAAACATGATTGCTCACTGTGGTACACTTTTGTTGTTGTTGGTAGCAGAGTTAAATTGCTGAACCATTCCGCTTACTGTTTTCTAATGAAATTTAACCTTGTTACTGCCCTACTCTTCTTACTGTCTTTCAGACCTCATCATGTCTGATCATCTGTCTTCTTGATATGTTTTAGTATTGGGCTCAAGAATCTCATTTCAATTTTAATGTTTCTTTTTCCTTTTTTGGGTTATTTTTCACATCATAATGATAGCATGTCGGCTCTGTGGCTAAGTCGATGCGAACGCTTCGCTTCGTAATGCCGGGATGCCAGGTTCGATCCCAGCTGCGGGCAATGCGCCTTGCGTTGGTTTCGACAGTGGTATCAAGAAAGCCGACCTCCAGAAAGCAATGGCAAACTACTGGATGTAACTTGCCTAGAGAAACCACACAACAGCCAGGGGCTTTTAGGGTTGGTTCTGCAACGTCCTGTAAAGGATACGCAACTAACTAAAAAAATGATAGCATAGTGTTTGTAAGAAGACTTTGTTATAGTGTCTTCTTTTTATCTTCTGACATATTTTTCTCTCAATTGTTGGGGGATTTGTCCAGAAAGTTGACTTGCTTCATTAAGTTTCTTTGAGCAGTAAAATAATTCTGAATTGGCTTGATAGGCCAGTCATAAGTTAATGATAAATACTGATCTAGGTGAGTCCGTCCTCCTTAGGCAAGCTAGCTAGGGTCATGTTTCACAAGTATCAATTCTTCGTCTACACTACTTGGAGTTAGCCTATGTTCCATGAAGCATTTGCAGGCTGTTGATTTGTGAGGCTTTTGAGTTGTAGCTAAATATGCCAGACAAGAAATTGTCTAATCAGTTTATTTTCAATATTCAGATTATTCGTTGAGGTTGGGGTTGATGGCATATCACCAACTGTAGATTGATGTATAAAATGTAGGTTTAGCACTGTATACACAATATGTCCAAGGGTGTGGAAAAAGGTCATCAACAACAAAATTTATAGTGGAGACATATATTGAATATTTTCTTATATTCTGTTAAAATGTCGTTTATTCTAGTGTCGCTGGAGACAATGAGGCACCTTAGTGTAACCAGAGGGTCTGGCCGGCTCACTACACTCAGAGGAAAGATGAGACGGACATATAAACAGATTGTGACCAGTACCATCAGTATTGGAACTCTACGCTGGTTGCTGAAGATGAGGACTGAGCGCACGTGGAAATGTCCTGAGCGCTGTGATGTAAATTTTTCACTTAACTCAACTCAACTTATTCTAGTGTTTAATTGATTTTATTTTCTCATTTCTGCTGCAGATGTAAGTGGAAGCTCTGGAGAAAGTTCACCTGCCAAAACTCCAGCTTTGTCACCTGTATTAGCTCCTCCTCCACCTCCTCCTCCACCCCCTCCCCCTCTTCCACCACCAAATGCACCAGGCGCCCCACCACCTCCACCTCCCCCAGGGTCAGCACTAGCACCTATGGATGGTAAGTGTTTGGGTGAACATTTGTTTCATATTGTCTTCATTTTGGGTGAACATTTCTTTCTTTTTGTCTTCATTTTGGGTGAACATTTGTTTCATATTGTCTTCATTTTGGTCTCAGTCATCAGCGCAATTCATCATTACCATTGTGACCATTGTCATCATTCTTCACACCATCATTATTACTTTCTTCACCCTCATCATCCTTATCACTGTCATTATTATAATCATCAATATCATCCGCATCATCATTATCCTTACCACCTTGACCATAATTAGTGTCATCACTGTCGTCATTATCACCATCATTATCCTTCCTATTCTGACTAATCAGTGTCATCACCATCAACCACATCACCATCATTGTTCTTACTACTTTGACTATAATCAGTGTCATCACCATCATCCGCATCACCATCATTGTTTTTACTACTTTGACTATAATCAGTGTCATCACCATCATCCGCATCACCATCATTGTTCTTACTACTTTGACTATAATCAGTGTCATCATCATCAACCACATCACCATCATTGTTCTTACTACTTTGACTATAATCAGTGTCATCACCATCATCCGCATCACCATCATTGTTTTTACTACTTTGACTATAATCAGTGTCATCACCATCATCCACATCACCATCATTGTTCTTACTACTTTGACTATAATCAGTGTCATCACCATCAACCACATCACCATCATTGTTCTTACTACTTTGACTATAATCAGTGTCATTGCCATCATCTGCATCACCATCATTGTTCTTACTACTTTGACTATAATCAGTGTCATCACCACCATCATCTGCATCACCATCATTGTTCTTACTACTTTGACTATAATCAGTGTCATCGCCATCATCTGCATCACCATCATTGTTCTTACTACTTTGACTATAATCAGTGTCATCACCATCATCCACATCACCATCATTGTTCTTACTACTTTGACTATAATCAGTGTCATCATCATCATTGTCCTTACTACTTTGACTATAATCAGTGTCATCACCATCATCCGCATCACCATCATTGTCCTTACTACTTTGACTATAATCAGTGTCATCACCATCATTGTCCTTACTACTTTGACTATAATCAGTGTCATCACCATCATTGTCCTTACTACTTTGACTATAATCAGTGTCATCACCATCATCCGCATCACCATCATTGTCTTTACTACTTTGACTATAATCAGTGTCATCACCATCATCACCATCATTGTCCTTACTACTTTGACAATAATCAGCATCATCACCATCATCTGCATCATTGTTCTTACTACTTTGACTATAATCAGTGTCATCACCATCATCACCATCATTGTCCTTACTACTTTGACTATAATCAGTGTCATCACCATCATCACCATCATTGTTCTTACTACTTTGACTATAATCAGTGTCATAACCATCATCTGCATCACCATCATTGTTCTTACTACTTTGACTATAATCAGTGTCATCACCATCATCCACATCACCATCATTGCCCTTACTACTTTGACTATAATCATTGTCATCATCATCATTGTCCTTACTACTTTGACTATAATCAGTGTCATCACCATCATCCGCATCACCATCATTGTCCTTACTACTTTGACTATAATCAGTGTCATCACCATCATCACTAACATTGTCCTTACTACTTTGACTATAATCAGCGTCATCACCATCATCCGCATCACCATCATTGTTCTTACTACTTTGACTATAATCAGCGTCAGCACCATCATTGTCCTTACTACTTTGACTATAATCAGCGTCATCAGCATCATTACATCATCTGTATCAGCATCATTATCCCTACTGTTGAGTTGAGTTTAGTCAAGAATTGACATCACAGCACTCGGGGCATTCCTATGCAGGCTTCCTTACTATTCTCACTATAATCAGTGTCATCACCATCATCACTGTCATCTGTTTCGCCATCATTATCCTTACTATCTTGACTATAATCGGTGTCGTCACCATCATCGGCATCACCATCATTTTCCTTATTATCTTTACGATAATCCGCGTCTTCACCATCATCCCAATCACCATCATTATCCTTACTATCTTGACTATAATTAGTGCAATCATCATCAACGTCATCCGTATTACCATCATCACCGTTATCCACATCATCATCATTATCCTTACTACCTTGACCCTAATCAGCAACATAACCTGTCATTCACCTCACCATCATTATTACTGTCTTGACCATCATTATCCTCATCACCATCATTATCCTTACTACCTTGGGTGTCATCACCGCCATCATCTTCATCATCATTTATCACCACCATCCTCATCCCCATTGTTGTTACTACCTGCCCCACCTTCATGCTTGTTACACTCATTATCATCACTACCCTTACCATCACCACCACCATCATCATCAAAATCCATCTTCATTGTTACCATCACCAGCTTCATCATTGTCACCATCATCAGTACCATCAGCCCAGCCCTTATCATTGTCACCATCATCAATACCATCAGCACCTATTATCACCACATCATCAATACCATCAGCACCACCCTTATCATTATCACATCATCAATACCATCAGCACCACCCTTATCATTATCACATCATCAATACCATCAGCACCACCCTTATCATTGTCACATCATCAATACCATCAGCACCACCCTTATCATTGTCACCATCATCAATACCATCAGCACCACCCTTATCATTGTCACCATCATCAATACCATCAGCACCACCCTTATCATTGTCTCTATCATCAATACCATCAGTACTATCCTCATCATTATCACATCATCAGTAATCATTAGTACCATCAGTACCATCCTCATCATTATCACATCATCAATATCATCAGCACCAACCTTATCATTGTCACCATCATCAATACCATCAGCACCACCCTTATCATTGTCACCATCATCAATAGCATCAACACCACTCTTATCATTGTCATCATCAGTACCATCAGCACCAGCCTCATCATTATCACCATCATCAGTACCATCATCACCAGCTTCATCATTATCAGCATCATCAGTACCATCATCACCAGTCTCATCAATATCACCATCATCAGTACCATCAGCACCAGCCTCATCATTATCACCATCATCAGTACCATCAGCACCAGCCTCATCATTATCACCATCATCAGTACCAGCACCAGCATCATCATACCATCATCAACCATCATCATCAGCCTCATCATTATCACCATCATCACCAGCATAATCAGTACCATCATCACCAGCCTCATCATTATCACCATCATCATCACCAGCCTCATCATTATCACCATCATCACCAGCATAATCAGTACCATCATCACCAGCCTCATCATTTTCACCATCATCAGTACCATCATCACCAGCCTCATCATTATCACCATCATCACCAGCATAATCAGTACCATCATCACCAGCCTCATCATTATCACCATCATCAGTACCATCAGCACCAGCCTCATCATTATCACCATCATCAGTACCATCAGCACCAGCCTCATCATTATCACCGTCATCACCAGCCTCATCATTATCACCATCATCAGTACCATCAGCACCAGCCTCATCATTATCACCATCATCAGTACCATCAGCACCAGCCTCATCATTATCACCGTCATCACCAGCCTCATCATTATCACCATCATCAGTACCATCATCACCAGCCTCATCATTATCACCATCATCAGTACCGTCATCACCAGCATAATCAGTACCATCATCACCAGCCTCATCATTATCACCATTATCAGTACCATCATCACCAGCCTCATCATTATCACCATCATCACCAGCATAATCAGTACCATCATCACCAGCCTCATCATTATCACCATCATCAGTACCATCAGCACCAGCCTCATCATTATCACCATCATCAGTACCATCATCATCAGCCTCATTATTATCACCATCATCAGTACCATCAGCACCAGCCTCATCATTATCACCATCATCAGTAGCATCAGCACCAGCCTCATCATTATCACCGTCATCACCAGCCTCATCATTATCACCATCATCAGTACCATCATCACCAGCATAATCAGTACCATCATCACCAGCCTCATCATTATCACCATCATCAGTACCATCAGCATCAGCCTCATTATTATCACTGTCATCAGTATCATCAGCACCAGCCTTATTATCCCTTTTGTCAACACCAACAAGATCATCAGTCCTGTGACTTTGAGATCATCAAGTCATCTCAACAAATCCCAGTGTCTCACATATTCCCCCCTTGTGCCAGTTATTTTAATGTGACCTTTAAAATCTGAAACCATGTAGAATTTCTCTAATGGTCTCATCCATCTGGGAAGCTGAGGTGTTGAACCACACCTGGAGGTGCCCAGCAGGACCTGGGCTTACACTGGTCAAGACCTCTCTATGGTCATCCTAGAAACAGGTTATCAACTGGGACCTGATCATTGTAATGGTTTCCTACGAAGTAGGAGTGCATCTGCCTTAGAGGCAAAGAGCCAGCAGCCTGGACACCTATAAACCAGATCTGTAAAACAGATGTGCCTGCAAACTCAGGTCTGTAAGTCTGTAACAAGACCAAAGACCAGAATTAGATGAACAGCCAGGACTTTCCACCTTAGTTTACAGCTGAGAAAGCTAAGAATGAGATCTTCGATTCACAAATATGCTTTTTTTCTTCCTTATTAAGGCAGACTGATTTTTTTGTTTTGTTTGGGGTAAAATGTTATTGCGACATCTTTCAGCAATGACCATAAAGAAGAAAATCCAGACCAAATATCGCCTTCCAGTTTTGAACTGGACACCGCTCAAACCACAGCAGCTTAAAGGGACCATCTTCTCAGAACTGGATGATGAGAGATTGTATAATGTAAGTGCTGCAAGATTGCTTTTCTTTAATTTTTTTGTTTCATGCCCTGTATCAAGATTTTATACATAAGTCTCTGATCAGACATGTTTGTTTGTTTTGTTTGTTTTAGTATCCAGAAGTCATGAGTTGTTAACCCTTAGGCTCGGTATTATGGATATCGCAACCTTTCGGCCTTGATTCCATTCTAAATACTGTAAATCTGGGAGAAATGTGGCTTTCCTGCCTACCCCCGGGATTGAACCCGGACCACAAAGAGTTCGTCACCCGGTCTCTGCGCAATCCGCTTTAGCCAACTACGCTAGAGAGCCGGGCCCTGATCAGACATAAATGTTGATAAGATATTAAAGTATTTTTATAAAAATCCACAGGGTTGAAATATATGACAGCTGAGTAAACAGGCAGGCCTGCTAGCTATTGCATCATAGTGGCTCCCGAGTCACTAAAAATGAAAATAAAATGCCTATTTTAATTTTCCATCCAGAAAATGTGTGATCTAATAAGGGATATAATCTTCAAATACAAATAGTGGAAATAATTAACTGCTTTCCTATCCTTTGACTGAGAAAATATAAGGTTTTGTTAACATATCCATGTGGGGTAAAATAATGTCATTAAGGGTTCACAGATAAGTCAGAATGTTCTTAAAAGTAATACCCAGCACATCTACACACGGTGCAGCTGCAGTCAGCATCAGAGCTGTTATATACAGGTGTAGTTGACCAATTCCAAAGTTGACAGGACATCAGAATACCTGACAAGCTGAAAATTTGGCATTATTGAGGTGACAGGGTCTGTCAGAGACCTACTTTACTATGTTCATTTTCTATGGCTCGCTAGGTAGGCCAGCTAACAGACTTCACTACCCTACGACACACTTAAGACACGCACCTGTTGAGTACAAACATAATCTTTAATGTACAATGAACAATACAACTTATTACACCTCAACCAAGTTGACAGTCCTTATCCGAAACGCCGGCGTTGAGCAGCTTTTACATTCACTGGTCAACCCGAGCCGTTCCCATGGATCCCCAAGGACACGATTCAAAACTAACAGTTTATCAGTCAGTGCTAACCAAGCCGCCATCTATTGCCACGCGGGCCTCAGTGACACACGTAAGGTGTATGGCCTGAGTGTGACTGGGCAGTGTTACCGCCATTAACAATGTGTGTCACACATTCACTAGCTGCTTAACAAATACTGCGTGGAACATCTACCATACAAGGAACATTAACTCTACTCTATCTCGTCAAAACATAAAATGGAAACACAGCTAATCTCAAAAATACTAACCACAAACACTATTCAATCTAACCGTCACTAAACTAACATACGTTTACCTAGTTGAAGCGCTACGTCTGGTCCAGTCCAAGTCCCTACTACACGTGGTATGGGACGTCGCAGGTCGACCCAGCCTAAAATGGGTACCAGTATGGGCTGTCCTGGGAAAGTAAAGACAACCGGCGTAATGCTGACCACATTACCCCACAGAGTGCTGATGGTCTGTAAAAATATGGGACGCTCTGCCCATATGCCCGATGCACCGAAAGGCGTGAAAATTGAACTTTACTTTTTTTTTTTTTTTTTTACCTGCGTTCATCTCTCGACAGGCGGTAATCCGTGTTAACCGTGTGACCTGGGCTTAGCCAGTTAACTCGACCCAGTTTATTCCGTGGTCGTTGCCCGGTCTCACACTGTGTTTTATTGAGGGTCAGCTCGTTCATACGTGACGATTCATTATCATCAACTCGTTCATCCCGTAGCCGAACTGGCCTCTTACAGGGTCAATACACCTAAATTATTTTAATTATAACTTGCTTGCTAAGTTATTTTAATTGTAAAACATTTGTTCAGCCAAGTATTTTTACTAATATGTAACATGCACACATCTTTAGTTATTACAGCTCATCAAATAACAGTGATATTTAAATTAAATTAATTGAAATGTTTTCACTTTTTCCACATAGATAACATTTGGTGTCACTTAGATGATATATGGTTGTCGCTAATATGATCCTTGGTTGTCACTAGTATGATCTTTAGTTGTCACAGGGATGATCTTTGTGTCACTATGATGATCCTTAGTTGTCACAAGGACGATACGTGGTTATCACTAGGAGGATAGTTGGTTCTTGCCAGGATGACACTTAAATGGTATATGCTTGACATTTAGATGACACATGGTGTTCAGAAACCATGTGGCTGTCACTCGGATGACACATGGGCTTTATTTATATCACATGAGGTTGCCACTTAACTGTCACATGGTTGTTAATTAGGTCAGTGTTACTCAACCTTTTTTACACTCAGGGCCCATCTAACAGCTTTTCTATTATTTTCTAACAGCTGACCAAGCACAGAAACAAAAACGAATGAAGTCAGCAGTTTATGTGTTTAATCTGGTGTCACTAAATTAAAACTTTCAGCAAATATGACATCTGCTGCTGCTTAGAGAAAACTTTCAGCAAATATGACATCTGCTGCTGCTTAGAGAAAACTTTCAGCGAATATGACATCTGCTGCTTAGAGGTTACACAATCTGATATATGTGGCTGGAGCATTAATTCATCTAGATGAAGCATTGCATAACATTAAGTCGATATCTTTGTTTTAGTATTTATTAATAACATAGCTAAGAAAATCATTTCACACAGTTAGGAAGTTGGAAAAACAAAATGACCCAGCAGTCATGCAGCTCAATAACTCGAACTCAGATATTCTATTTCACGTGATATCCAAAACTCAGACAGTGATTGGATTTTAAGTCTGGACACACGGCTGACGTCAGAAGACAACTTGATCAGCTGTTCCTTTTCATGGTAATCAAGCACACATGATTGTATATTTTCTAAAAAAAAAAAAAAAAAAAGGATTATTAATCATAATTTTTCCTTTACGAGAATCTTCATTTTTAGAAAGATAATTATCAACGTTTTTAGCTAAACATTTTTTATGCTGACTTATTATGTTGAATATCACTGGTACTTGTTTGATTCTCAACCTTTAATTGTTAATCCTGCAGATTACAATCACAATCATGGAAGAGAAAACTACCCTCTCTGCTTTGTTACATAATTAGGCAGACATTTTTAGCAATCTAGACTTTTCTCCCCAGCAGTCCACCAGTTGGCCGCAGCCCATGGTTTGAAAAACATTGACTTAAGTGACACATGGTTGTCACCAGCATGACCTATGGATGACACCTAGCTCATATCTTTGACACTAGGCCAAACTTACCAAAATACACTTGGTGATTTTTACATCATTTGTCACTTTACAATGTGCCAAACAAACACACATGAATTCCAGCTCTTCCAAATAATTCTAAAAAAAAGTATTCATTTTTGTGCAGCTATGTTTAGATAGATGTCTGTGTTGGAACACAATTTCTCGAAATAAGGGTTCAGCATTTGGATGACTTAGATGTTGTATAATGGTACCAGCAGTATGTGGTTATTACTTACATGACACTTGGTTGTACACAATGGATGTTGTTCTTTCACAGGTCATAGACTTCAATGAATTTGAAGACATCTTCAGATTAGGCCCCGCAGGGCCACTGTCAGTAGCTGGTGATGGCACACCAAAAACACTAAAGAGAAATAAGAAAGCCGAGACCATCTCATTATTAGAACCCAACAGACTTCGCAATGTCGGTATGGTCTATTTTTTTGTTTGTATTCTAATTGTTTTGACATACATGTTACATCATGTCGCAAGAGGCCACTAACGGTAGGGTTGGACTGGGTTGGCTACCTTATCACATAAGAATAAAAGCCACAAAAGCCAAAACTGTGGAAAAGTGAAACAAGGAATACTCAGCCAATCAAGATGGGCAAGGGGGCAAGGAGAGGGGTGGGTGGTGGTGGGTGGAGAGGGGTGGGTCTTCTAATAGAAAATGATGAAAGCCGAAAAGAGTCTGGATCGTTGGCGCACCTCTTCTCACCTAGGAAAATGTCCAGAATTAGTACCTGGAACATATGAACTTTATACATTGTGGGAATCACAGTAGAAGTAGTAAGGGAAATGAAATGTTATAGGGTTAGAACTTTAGGACTGTGTGAAACTAAAACTGGAACGCACAAGGGCATAGATATTAAGGTAGACCAAAAAACACACAGAACAGAAAATGAGAGAATAAAGTATTCTCAGCAGCGAAGCGACTAGAAGGAATATGTCACACATGATGTTCACTCCGTGTAATCATTACCTGTTAGCGCTTTATTTTGTCTAAACTGCTTACACATACTTTTCTATAGCTAGTGTAGTGTCTTGCAGAAGCTAATCAAAGATCCTGAGCTTGCTCAATATGATTGTCATGTAGTATCATAAGCAGAGTGTCAGTTCCCTTACGTCTACCCTGAAGATACTTTATCTCTTGCCTTTTCTCATTCCTTATATATTGTCACGACTATGGTGTCTTCTATTCTCCCTCCATTCTAAGTCTTCTTCTTCTTCTCTGTTCACCACTTTAACAACAGAAAGTCCTGGTTGTTGGTCCATTAGACTTTTGCTTTGTGCCAGGGCCAAAGTGTTGCAGATAATCTGTGTTACTGGCTTATATGTGTGTAGTTGGTTGTTCTTGCCACTCGGGCAGATGCACTCAGACTTCAAAGGAAGTCCCCAATGCTATGACATGCTTGTTGGGGAGCAGTGGGTCTATTCTAGTTTCCCCCACAATGGGGCCCAGGAACCCACACAGGGCATCCACGCTAAGAGAACCCTAGCACTTTCTTACATTAATCATCCATTCCATTATTGCTATTCTAGACCAGTTATGTTTAATAAGCTTAGTATGGAGTCAGAGTACTGTTCATATGTGACTAGAGTTAAGTGGCTTTCTTTAACTCTAAAATTGTGTGAATTCATAGGACTTTTTTGAATTTTTGTTGTTGATAATTTGCAATAAATATTACTTTTTTGTTGTTGTTGCATGTGACATATCATCAAAGCTGAGGCTATCTGTGATTTGGTTTATTACAGCTTTATTACCTTTTTTTTTGGCAGCCATCACAAGACGAAAAATTGAATTATCCAATGATGACATTGTACGGGCTATCAATGGGTAAGTTAGTTAGTATTCATAAGATACTTGTTGTACATTCGGTAAGTTAATATTGCTGATGTAAGGTTACAGTATACTTGTGTTAGGATTTGTTTTTCCCAGTTAGTTAGTTAATTAGTCTTTCCTCTTGTGTCGAGTGCGGCACATAGGGCAGAGGTCGCGACTCTCCATGCACGGCGGTCCGTTGCAATCCGTTGTAGGTCTTGGATGTTTGAGTGGCCCATGAGCGAGCCTTCCCTGATGATAGTTCTACGTAGGGTTTCCCTTGGTCTTCCACGAGATCTTTTCCCCTGTGGTGTCCAAATGAGGGCTTGGTAAGGAAGTCTTGATTTATCCATTCTAAGGGCATGGCCGACATAGTTCCAGCGGCGTTTTCGTATAAAATTATACACATACTCTTGCCTGGATTCTTGCTTTATTTGTGTATTGGTTCGGAAATCTGACCATTTGAAATTTAGTATTCTTCTAAGGCATTTATTTTCAAAACTGTCTAATTTTGTGTCTAGAGTTTTCGTTGATTTCCAGCTCTCGCATCCATAGGTTAGTACTGGAATCACACAGTGGCAGTTTGATTATTTGTCTGTCTTGCCTTTCCTTTGAGTGTAGAGTGTTGACCAGATCCCCAGGTCACTTCTATCTGTACCATTCTCTCCATACCCCAATGATCTAGTCATGCCTCCACATTGTTCCGTTGCTGCCAGAGGGCCTTGACATCTTTTCATGATCACCCAGTGATGCAGAACCAGCCAGGCTGACTCACTGTTCATTTCCCAACACTCCTGCATTCCTGATGGAGAAATTAACATCAGAGAAAAATTCTACAACAGTACAATGTATCTGTGGTTGAGGCAGCCATAGAAGATTGGGAAGCAGAACCTAATGTTGTTCTTGACACCCGAACAAGTTAAAAAAGAAGCTAACAGTGGTGTTTGTAACTAACTAAATATATGACGCAAATTTAACAAGAACACTAACTTAAATACTTGAGCTACATAATGCAGCTACTGGCATTCTTGCCTGTTGGTCATGTGCTTGAAACTCTCTAAATATTATGTTTACATGGACTTGCAGTCGAGGCAACTTAAAATTAGTACCAGGAAATAACCTGGGAAGAAAAGACAGATTTTGATCACATCTGTTAAGTGCCTGTAAATTTAAAAAAAAAAGTGGGACAAATGCCATATACTCATTACACCCCACCGCTTAAAAACATTCTTTACAATTTTACTGATTAACCTAATTTAAGGGATCTCTGCTTAGGCACTGGCAAAAACATCAGTAACCTCCTACTATTTAAAATAAAAAGTTAAGAACCCAGTTGACATCAATGGCACATGGAGCATATGCTGCTAGACTAATATTTTCATAGACCAATCAGCATTTAGCAGGTACTCATTTTAGGCTCGGCTGATCTGGGTGCCAAGATCAGTTTTCAAACAGCCGTCTCAGAGCAATTTCAAACCCAAATCATTCATACTGGCTGCGTGTGTGCTTCTGTTACACTACCATGATTCCAAACCTGTTTTTACTCCAGTTTAATTTAAATGCAGAATTAAAGAAATGTGGTAGCAGTCTTCTTCTTCACTTCCTCTTTTACCACTTCAGATGTTGTAAGGTTCCACTTCTTTCTGTTCTGGCCTACTAGACACATAGATCAGTTGTAGACGCTGTCTTTAATCCTTTAACATAGCATTGGTCACATACTGTTTAATCAACCCCTTTGTATCTCATTGTACTCTCTATAGCAGTAATAAATCCACTGCAGGCTTGCTAGGCCTGTCACAACTTCACCAGCGCCTCATTTACCATGATGCTTTGGGATGACCCAGTGTGGCCTTTATGACTGCCGTACTGGCCCCATGGCACAAGGTCAGACCATCTCTTTCCCAATCCTAGCAATCCCCTACTTGGTTCTGTTTACTGCCTCTCATGACAGTAGGGCTAAGAAAATGTCAAACATAAAAACATGCCAGCCTTACAGGACACTTCACTGAAATGGTATTCAGACAGACTGTAATAAAGTTATTTCACCATCATTTTCCTTTTATTTTTGTTTGTTTGTTGTCTTTTGTTTCTCATCATTGTTTGCTGATGACGACATCTAGCTGCAAAATCACTTTCTGTTTATTGTAATGTATTCTCTAAAGCTGTCATCAATTTTGTTTTGTTTTGTTTATGCTGTAGTACTGGTATACCTGATGTAATAAATGACATATCATATTTTTGTTTTAGGCTGGATCTGAAGAAGCTGTCTCTAGACATTGTAGATATTATGATGACAATCCTACCAAATGAACAAGAGGTAGGGAACTGAACAGTTTTTCCAGAACTATCCTTTATTTGAATAGAAGTGTCTAGGAATTCATGCAGTTAATATCCTTGAGGAAATGTCAACTATTTAAATGCATTTTTCCGGTCTTTTCATTTTCCCTGCATATCCCCACTTGGGTTTCTGAGTCCCATTTTGAGGAATAAAAAAGAACAGACCGCTTTGCTCCTTAATAAACCTGCTGTAAAAGTGACTAATGAAGGGTTTGCTGAAATCGGATGTGTTGGCCCAAAAAAGGCAGATTTTGCAGCCTAGCTGAAAATCACAACACACTGTTGCCCACTGTTTAAGGGTATATGAGGAAGAGGAAGTTATCTCTACAGTTGTATTAACAGGTTGACACAGAATTAGTACCTGTTGAAGGTGAGGTTTGGGTAATGCAAAGCCTGGCCTGTATACCACATGATACTTTAGGTCAGGGCTATTCAACTGGCGGCCTGCGGGCCAAATCTGGCCCGCTGAGGCCTAGCAAGTGGCCCGCCGATCGTTGCCAAAATAGCGAAATGTAGTTATTGAAAAGAACAAAAGTTAAATCACTCAATGTTTCTGTATATTCCTCAAAAACCAGTCGTGTCAAATGTGTCAATTGGAAGTGTTTGTCAGGAATCTGTAAATACGAAGGTACAAGAGAACCGGCATAGGAACAGAACAAGTAATTTGATCAGGGTAAAAGTTCAATCCCAGTTCGCTCAAATAGCAAAACTCGCCTTTTTGAAGCCAATGGTAATAAGATAGGCTGGAAAGTACCAAGTAACAAGCGGAAAGGTCACCGCTGCACTGGACATTCAATGAAGATGAGATATTTATTGGATAGGAGGCGTAGGGAAATACCAACACAGTCCTGACAGTTAGAGCTTAGATTACAGAGAATCACTTCCTAATGGGCGCCACAAACTAATGCCATTGGATGCAGCAGAACATCAGACACTGGACATGGCAGAATACCTTGTTATCAGATTATAACGTCCAGAAGAACGTTCAGTCACAGTCATACGTAGATTGTCGGACGTGATTGTACATAAACAAACTGAATCAGTAACAGTGTTTTAAATTATCTACTTTTAATAATTTAGTTTAAAACTTTATGCCATGGCTAGCACTAGTAAGTGGGCATGTGAAAAACGTGCATTCAGCAGTGACTGGACACTGAAATATGTTTTTATATCGCCAACTCTGCCTAATTCCAAACCAGTATGCTTGCCATTTTATTTCTTCAACACTGGACTCGGCAACCTTAACCGATCGATGATATAAATATTTTTAAAAACTTCAGAATAATTTAAACAACAGATTTGACGACTTCAATATCCCAAACAATGTAGTGTTATTTGTTCGGGATCCTTTTAAAATCCCTCCTGCGTGGGATTTTTGTTCCAATGCTAAGAAGTTGATATCCTCTGTTGATGAAGGTTCTCTGCAGTGAGAACTTGTGGATATGCAAATTTCCAGCGCAGTGAATGAAGATTTTCAAGAAAGTGGTACAGTCAAGTTTTGGAATGAGAGGATTCAACAGGAGCAGTTCCCTAATGCTAGAAAACTTGCTGTATGTTTCATTCACCATGTGAATCAAGCTTCTCACACATGAATGTCATCAAGACAAACAGCCGAAGCTCACTGAGCAACGATAGGCTGCAGGACTGCATGAGAATTGCTCTAACTTCTCACCAGCCAAATTTGGCAAAATTAGCTCAAAAAGGGAAATGCAGCATTTCCCATTAATTACATTTTGCATCGTTATACCTGTCGGTTTCTTCTGCAGAACATGAAACCAACTGTGGACAGTTATTATTATTATTGTGACAATGGTAACGTTTATTTATGATCCCATCGACAAGTTGGAAATAGGTGTATTTCAATTACAAGTGATCCCCGTGTGGGTTCCGGGGCCCTTTTGTGGGGGAACGAGAATAGACCCACTGCCTACCCAAAAGAATGTCGCAAGAGTCGACTAATTAGGAGCTTTCTTTGAAGTCGGACTACATCTGCCTGAGAGCCAAGGAACCTAGTCTGCATGCAAATGAGTAAGACGTGTAAACCGGATGTGTATGCAACACTCAGTTTCTAGAGTCCAGAAGTAGACGTACAACCAGTACTTTCCGCTAGAGTTTACAGCTGGTGAATACGAAGAAGAAGGAGAATTAAAAGTGAGTATTAAATAATCATTACAGAAGATTGTAGTACACTTTACATTATAATGGTTTACAACACTGCTACATTTATGTAGGCCACGTCCTAGGCGTAATAGTTTTCGAGTGTATTAAATCCACAGATTAGAAATGTTGTCAATTGTAGTGTGGGCTCTGGCCACTGGCCTGCGACGGTCTCCATGTTCAGCATTTTGGCCCGCGAGCAAACTTAGTTGAATAGCCCTTCTTTAGGTTCTTCCTTTTTTTCCTTTTTTTTCCTGTTCTTTCTTTCTTTCTTTCTTTCTTTCTTTCTTTCTTTCTTTCTTTCTTTCTTTCTTTCTTTCTTTCTTTCTTTCTTTCTTTCTTTCTTTCTTTCTTTCTTTCTTTCTTTCTTTCTTTCTTTCTTTCTTTCTTTCAGTTGTGGACTATTTCATAATCACTGAAGAAAAAATGTGGGCTAAACACATTTATGGTTTGTAGATCACAGAATTGGAGGGTATGGTTCCTGGAAGCAGAGAAAGGAAGTCAGGATGCCCTGACCATGAATGTATTTGAGGTGGGAAAGTTGGCAGGAAACTTGAGTGACTTTCCAGCATGCTGTGATAAGAATGACGCTGTTGCTACTGTAAGTGGTTTTCAACCTCATGCACACAACCAAATGGCCGGTGGCACAAGCAAGTCTCAATTAGGGCGTCAGACAATTTTTTAATTAAGTGCATTTATACTTGTAATTATCTGTTATACAAATATTTTTTTGTAGTTTAATTGTAAATAAAATATAAAAAAAAACGGCTCTCCTTTCAATACAGATCATTAGCTGGAAAGCCGCCGATCGCTTAGTGGGAGTTCTCTCCCTTGGCTGCATTGCAAACACGGAGCGGAAAAGTCATGAATCAAATGACATACTTACCTATCATCATACAATTGCGTGTACGGTTGCGTAGTCATCATACGGTTGTGTAGGGTTAGGGTTAGGGATAGGGTTAGCGCCTTAGGGGTTGGGTTAGGGATAGGGTTAGGGGTAGGGTTAGATGTGACAATTTTGACGTAGAAGTTCCAAACAATGGCCGACAATCTGATGCTTGTGGGAGTGGCGCCACTGGAATTCTCCCAAATATGACGGCAATAGCGAGCGGCTGGTGCCCAATCGGTGGCGAATTGTTCGTTTGAGTAGCATCCACAGTCCTTCGATTGTTTGGGTGTGAATGTGACTGTGCGCGATTATTTGGAACTCCTGCGTCAAAAGTGTCACATCTAACCCTATCCCTAACCCTAACCCTACCGCTACCCCTAACTCTAACCCTACCCCTAACCACGCAAATTTATCGGTCATTAAGTCATGCAGATCTGCAGGAGTCACATCCGTGGCAACTAATACCACTTTTATATAAGGATATATTTACTTTAAAAAAAACCCAGATTTCCCTGAAGCGTCAAATAAACACCCAGATCTGGGGGAAAAACCCAAGCATTGGCAGCCCTGTTGTCGAACTCACTGTCTTTTTTCATTCGTGACTTTTCCTCACCGTGTTTGCAATGCAGGCAAGGGAGAGAACTCCCACTAAGCGATCAGCGGCTTTCCAGCTAATGATCTGTATTGAAAGGAGAGCCTAAAAAACTATTTGTAAAACAAAAATCCAAGGATGCTTTCATTTTCATGAGCAATTTATACACAGTGAGATAACGTCTGCATTTAATTATAGATTAAGAGCATATTCTGACCGAAACATATCTACATATTTTCTGTATTACCTCTTTTTTTGTCCTCCTCTTTTTGACCACATTTTTTTTAAAGGCGGGGAAGTAGGGTTCATGGGGGTCTTGTCATATATTGGGGGGTGGGGGGGGGGGGGGACCTGAAAAATGTTGAAATCCACTATGCTACATGATGATATGATGACATCCACTGTTTTTTTTTTTTAACTTATTGATTTTAAATCTGTGTTATTATGTTGTTTTTACACATTTTGTTAAATGATGAATTCTAGTGAAATATTATTTTCCTCTTTACTCCCCAGGTGAAAGCTTACAAAAACTTTGAGAGAGACAAACAGCCTGTTGCAGTTTTATCTGATGAGGATAAGTTCATGCTTCAGGTAATTGTGCTCAGTGCCATCATGATAAAAATAACAAATATACAGGAAATTTACAAGATCCTTAGTTGTGTTTTCTAATTCTAATTTTGAAACTTGACCTGGCTAATGTTGTCCAACTGATACATTGCTGTTTTGTTGAGTTTGGTCAACTATTATTCTTATATAATTGTAAATTATAATTGTAATAAATTGTTATAATTATGTTGTAATTATAGTATTTTTAATTATTGGGTCTTCTTTTTCTTCTTCGCTTCCTCTTACCACTGTGAATGTCGAGGAAGAAAAATGGATCTGCTTCTTGCTTTTCTGTGCCGCCTTAACCATAGACACCTCATGCTGTTGCAGAGTTTCTCTGGTGTTATCTTTCTATGTTGTTCTTGGTCTACCATGTGCTTCTCCTTCTCCTCTTTTAGTGTATGCCTTGTATGGTATGACATCACAGGGCATTCTCTCTTGATTGGTTGTTTTTATATGTAAATTTAGAATTGGTTCTGTACCAGCTTTATCTCGTATGACCTCATTCCTGATTTCATCTTTTCTAGTCACTCCTACAGCCTTTCTCAGACACCTCATTTTCATGGTTACTAATTTTTCTTTTATTACTTGTTGTGAGGGACCGTGTCTGGCACTGGTAAAATAGATTTGGAGTGAATATGCTTTATATGAGATGTTTCTTTGTGCTGATCAGGATTATCTTATGCTGTTAAAAGGGATCTAGCTATCCAATACTTGCTTTGCTTTACAACATCTGCTAATTTTTCCATCCAATTTACCATCCTCATTGGATTTGAATTATTGAGTAATTATTTGCTCTATCTTTATGTTGAGGGTTAATCGATAATCATAGTTTCAACTCCATAGCAGACGGGTCACCCCACAGCTGTTTCTTTCATGTGGCAACAAAAAACTCGCACAATGAATATCATTGTCACGTGTGAACAAAATTGCCACAGACTGCAGTCTCAGCACAACCAGTAGCATACACATGCAATAAATGCATAAGGCAGCCATCAGAAATGCCAGCACAGTCACGCACTAGAAATGAAGTTTAACGATAATAGAAGCAGCAGACACAACATATCAGTAGTTTGCACCTGCAGTTAATTGCAGAAGACACCGCCAGTTCTCTGATAACTGGCTACATGTTATTTTCTGAGTCCGCAGTTTACATTACAAACCCCACCAAGGATGTCCTTGATTTTCTGCATCCTCTATCTTGCTGACTGACCCCTTGTGGTAGTTTCCCCTCTTGCATAAGTATACTGTGGAAATGCACTAGGTTTTTTTAGTTTTTGTTGTTGTTGTTGGTAAAGAGATGATAACTTGATGAGATCATAATTGCTTGTTTTTTCTTAGATGGTGAAAGTCGAGAGACTTACTCAAAAACTTCAGATAATGAGCTTCATAGGGAACTTTGATGATAACATCCGCCAGCTTCAGCCGGTGTGTATATTTTGATGTTGGTAATAATTATGATTTATTGGTAATTGCAGTTACTAATAAACTACAAACATTCATTAGCTGGTGCTGGCACAGAATAGAGGGAATTAAATGAATCACTAATGTAGAGCTTTGGGAGAGAACTTAGCAAGCTCCAATGGACCGAGAGGGAAAGAAAAGATGCTGCCGTTGGATAAGACATACATTGTGAAAACATGAGAAAAATCTAACTAGAATGTCTTTACACTGAAACCCACAGGGGTATAGAAATAAAGGAATACTAAAAAACGCATGTTTAAGGCAGCTAGAGAGTGAATTTAAAAAGATAGGAAGGGCCTGGGGAGAGCTGTATGCGATAGCGAGGGATAGAACAACTTAGCGTGAGTTGGTTAGGGGGCTTATGCTCCACTGGGGGTTAGAAGGCAGAAGAAGGACAATTACTTATGAAGTTTTGTGTGTTTTATTGAAGTCATTAGTTTTTTAATGTTGAATTAAGAATCGACATCACAGCACTCAGGACACTCCTATAAGCGCTCCGTCTCATCTTCAGCAGCAAGTGCAGAGTTAAAATTCCGATGGTACCAGTAACAGTCTGATTGTATATCTGTCTCGCCCCTTCCCTGAGTGTCGAGTGTCGGCCAGATCTTGTAACTCCTCGCAGTGCCATTCTCCTCAGACTGTAATGATCTATCTGTTCCTTGGCACTGTTCACTCTCTCCCAAAGAGCCCTCAAAACATCCAGCTTGTCATATATCAGTTCACCACCAAGTGGTGCAGAACCGGCCAGTCTATCCGCCTGCTCATTTTCCAACACACCGGTGTGACCTGGAGAAAATATCCAAAGGATGCTAACTACCCAGGACCTATGAAGTGATGCTTGCCACTCTGCATTGAGCATGCCTGTCTCCACCTTTCTCAGCAGGCTCTGTGAGTTAGTTACAATGACGATATGTGTGTCATTTGTAAATAGGGGTAACATGAGTTAACACAAAACATGACTTGGAAACTCAGTGTTATAAAGGAAAGACACACACTAATACAAGTGAATTTTTTTTAAACCAATGTCTTTATTAAAAACACACACACACACACACACACATGCACATATGCGCCCACACATCCAAGTAACAAGAATAATTAGAGATGACCTGAGAACAGTAGAGCCCGACATTTAATTAAAACTTGTCCTGTGTGCAGAGTGGCTCACATCACTTGATAAGACCTAGATCAAGAACATTTCATGGATTTTCTGCCCATGATTTTCAGATGTGAGAGATAAAGAGCAGACCTTATAGATTGGCTGCTGCCCCTCCACTGGGCGGTGAGCTACTATGTGATAAAGCAGATGTGGCGAAGACTATGGGATTGAAAAGAAAGTGTAAAATAACAGATAGGGAATACATACACTGAAGAGTAGAGATTCTGGAAGATATTTAACGTTGAATGGGAAACAGATTCTGACTTTTAATCCGGTTGCATCTGGTACTATTAGCATGTCAATAGTACACTAACAGTACAAATCCAGACAAATGTGAAAGGATATTTGACAAGAAAGAACAAGATAGTGTACAACACAGAATGGCCACCCTCAGTTATATTGATGAAGAATACCCACAAGAACAATGGGTCAGAGTCTATACAGATGGGTCCACAGAAAGTGCAGTTAGAAATGGTGGTGCTGGAGTGTACATAGAATTCCCAGATGGTACTATGAATAAGACCAGCGTACCAACCGGAAAGTACTGCCATAACTATGATGCAGAAGCTCAGGCTATCAAAATAGCAACAGAGAAACTGCTAAATACCAATCTTGGCTCACAGTATGTGGTAATGCTGACAGATGCAAAATCAGTACTTGAAGCACTCCAGTCTAGTAAACTACCAGAATTGCAAACACTGCTGACACAACTTAGCCTTCACAAAGAGTTGTAATGCAGTGGATACCATCACATTGTGGAGTGCCTGGAAATAAGAAAGCTGATCAACTGGCAGGAGAAGGTGCGACAAAAGTGCAGCCGGATGTACCAGTCACATAGGACCAAAAGAAAAGAATAATTAAATCAATCAGGAAACCACCAGCCCCAGCACAAGACGACTATTTTATTATGGACAGATCAGAACAAGTCATTATCCTCTGCCTCAGAACAGGGCACAACTGATTATGTATCCACATGTACACAAAATTCAAGATAGGCATATCAGCCATGTGCACCTGTTGAAAGGTGCCCCAGACAGCAAAGCATGTACTCCAGGACTGCACCGAATTTGACACATTAAGGCAAACCTTTTGGCCAGAAAGAACAACAGTGGAACATAAACTCTGTGGACCACTGAATGAATTAATAACAACAGTGAAATTTATGCAAGAGACAAAATAGCTGATATAGACAACTTATTTCAGGCGAACGAAAGAAGAAGAAGAAGAGCATGTCAATTCTTTGTTGGTTACCAAAGAAGGGGATAGAGTATGTGTGGGAAGTCCCAAGTGCAGTGATGTCAATTCTTGATTCATTCATTCATTCATTCATTCATTGTACATCATGACATCACTAGTAACCAATAACAAAATTGTCGTTTATGACATCACTAGTACTACACTGCAGTTGTACATCATAATGTCATCATCATCACCATCAAGTGCCTTGCCAGCTGGCATAGGCGATCATGCATCTCCACAGATCTTGGTCTTTTGTGTTCTGAATCAATTCCACTCATGATATTCCTCCATGACACTGTCTTAAACCATCCACCATAATTTCTCTTGGTCTGCCTCTGCCTCTTCTGCCAGTAATCTTTCCAGTCGTCACAATATTTCCCGCCTTTTCTAATCACTAAAGAACTGTCTCCTTCTCATTGTTGTATATAATGTTCTACTTTCATTAGCCATTTCCAGGCAATCGTTGTTATTCTGGCAGTCCAAGGTATTCGCAACATTCTTCTCAAGAACCAAAACTCAGTTACCTCCAAACTCTTCCTAATTTGTTTGCTCACATTCCAAGATTCGCTCTCATACAAGAGAACAGACTCGATATAATATTTCGGTACATTCATACTAGAGACAACATTGCAGATATAGATAATCTATTTCAAGCGAACTAAAGAAGAAGAAGCAGTAGAATTTAAGTACTCTTTTTCTGATGTTTAATGTGAGTGATTTATTACATAAGATACTTTTCATGTTCTGAAATGCTACCTTTGACTGGCCAATTCTGCTCTTAATTTCTGTCACAAATCGTCCAGCTGATGTTATGAATGTCCCCAAATACTTTGAGTGACATCACTAGTAATAAATTACAGTTTTTACATTATGACATCGCTACACTGTCTGGTACTTACCACTTCATAAGGTCACTTGTGGGCAATGAAGAAATAGAAAACAATGTTTTTAAAGAGATTCACAAATACATAATACTCATTGTCCTCTTTTCTAAATGTTAAAATGAAGGCACAACTAGTTCTGATTTTTATTTCAGCAAGTCAATGCAGTGATATCAGCCTCCATGTCATTAAAGAATTCACACAAGTTCAGGAAAATTATGGAGGTTTGTTTTTCTACTTTATTAACAGTTTTCATTGCCAGACACTGGAGTATACTAAGCTGTAAATTTAAATGAAGTTAAGAGTTTAAGAGTGGACATTTGTATATTCAGGTGTTAATTTAAATTAGATTTACAGCAGACATTAAGTATACCAAGGAGGCAATTTAAATAAAGTTAATGGCAGACATTAGTAAGCACCAAGACAGAACCTTATATCTCCCTCGACACCCACAGCGGTAAAAGAGGAAGTGAAGAAGAAGAAGAAAAAGAAGAAGTAAGCACCAAGTTGAGAATCATCCACACTAGAGTGTATCCCATATTTACAGCAGTACTAAAGTATTATGAGTAAACTTAGAAGATGTGTGTGCACAGTCATCAGTTTGTTTCCCATCACTAGAGGCTGTTAACGTGTGTATCAGAAATGATTGACAATACACGAGATGAAGGTTGTGATCACATATGATCACCAAAACCACATAGCATGGACTATAAGAAAAAACCCCTGTGTGGGTCTGAGGCTTCATTTTGGGGGAAACAAGACCAATTACACCCCTAACAATCATGTTGTAAAAGGCGGCCATTTAGCGGTATTTCCTTCAAAATTGGGCTGAGGGATGAGGAACCAACAGTCTGCATACAAATAAGCCAGATTTGCACACACACAAAAAAAAAGGTTTGAAAAAAACCAAAGTCCTTAAGTAAACGAACAGTTGGAACTTTCCACTGGTATTTACAGCCTTTAGGCTAAGAAAAAGAGGAAGAAAAAGAAGAGGCCATTAACAAAGTCGACCAAGCCTTGAGTGGGTACCAGGTACAAACCTGGGAAATAAAGGCAGTCGGCGTGATGCTGACCACATCACCCACCACGTGCCAGTTGGTCTATAAAAATAAGGTTCTATCCCTATATGCCCAATACGCCTGAAGGCATGGAGAATGATCCTTTACGTTAACGAAGTGTCTTTCACGAAATCATATCTCATAAGTACACACTATATGAGAGTAGAAAGTACCTAATAGTCATATACAAATGTTACTATATGGTATCTTACCAAAGAACAGAATTCCAACCACAGGTGGCTTTACCCTGGTTTTACTTGTACAGCAGTGAAAAGTCAAGCAGGCTGCCAGGAGTTTCAAATTATTAACTAGAAATGTTTTAATTATTTGTTACTTGTAGAATTTCACTTCTCTTTCTCTGAAGTCAGAGGGCATCTGCATGAGAGGCAAGGAACCGACAGTCTGCTTACAAATAAACACAGATCTGTAAAATTGATATGCACACAAAACTCAAAGGTCCAGGAGTGGACGACAACTAGAACTTTTCACCAGAGTTTACAGCCGGTGAACGCAAAGAAGAAGAAAAAGAAGTTTTGGTTCTATTAGGGGATAGATGATTTTACTGACATAAGCGGTGATAGTTGCATGATTAGTGTACTTGCTTTCTGACCTGGTGGTAGTGAGTTCAAATTCCTTCTAGGAGGTAACCATAAAAAAAAAATATTATTCCTTGAAGGCTGTTTGGTAATGTCAGGTATGCCCTAAGTGCTCTGATTAATTCCTTAGTAAATCCCACCATTGTATGTTTTCTCCTCTTCTTTTTTTATTTCCTGCATGATGCTCTTGCATGGCCTCACCCATTTTAACTTCCTGTTCTTGCACTCACAGTTACCCCCTGGTTCTCATAAAGATATTACTTCTCTTAGAGCATTCACTTTAGCAGCCTAGCCCATTGCTTATCCATCCTCCACTGTAGCCATACTTGCAAGCCTATCAACAAATTAATTTTGTTTTACACCTGCATGCCCTGGTACCAAAAATGAAACTGTCATTTTTCAGCCATGATCACTCCAGACTTCAGTAACTGTCTTTGGGCCCAGCCCATCTCTTTCTTCCTGAGCATTTTCACCAAGTCACAGAGTTTGCCCAAGTTAAGGTCTGTGTCTCTTAACCACATTTTATATTTTCCCTATTATGCATGTTAAATTCTTATAGCAGTAAAAGAGAAAATGCTTGTACCAGTTGTATGTGGCTAGATTGATCCCAGACCAATTAGACAAGAGGGAGGGTGAGTCTTTGATATGCTGATCGGTGATTTAACCTGGACCACAGCTCTAGTAAGCTAGTACACTAATCAGCTACGCCACATCTCTGTGAGCAGTATTGAAATTGCTTCTGTTTGTAAAATTAATTCAGTCTTGTTTGCCACAGATAATCCTGGCACTGGGGAACTACATGAACAGTAACAAGCGAGGTGCAGTCTATGGTTTCAAGTTGCAGAGTCTGGACATGGTCAGTTGTTTACATTTGTGTGTGTCAGACGGTTTTGTTTTAATTGTAATTTATCTAAGCCTGGTCTTCATAGAAGAAACAAAAGTTTAGTCTCCAAGAAATAAACCTTCTTTACGTGTATCTGTTGATGTTCTCAGAACACTTGTTCTGAAGCAGTGCTTGCCGGTCTGCATGAAGCACACCTGTCTCAACCTGGTCTGCATGAAGCACACCTGTCTCAACCTGGTCTGCATGAAGCACACCTGTCTCAACCTGGTCTGCATGAAGCACACCTGTCTCAACCTGGTCTGCATGAAGCACACCTGTCTCAACATGGTCTGCATGAAGCACACCTGTCTCAACCTGGTCTGCATGAAGCACACCTGTCTCAACCTGGTCTGCATGAAGCACACCTGTCTCAACCTGGTCTGCATGAAGCACACCTGTCTCAACCTGATCTGCATGAAGCACACCTGTCTCAACCTGGTCTGCATGAAGCACACCTGTCTCAACCGCAACCTTTTCTAGCATGCTTTTTGAATCAGTTACAACAACAACCTGTTTAGGCAGCTGATTCTCAAGCCTGCGATGACTGCCTGCACCTCCATTCTCAGACTAGATGTTGTGGTATCATATGCCAGGTTTTGTTGCACTAAGCGACATCTGATCACTTTTGCTATAAACGCCCATGCACTGCATCTGCTTTTAAACACAGAGCCAGCCATCTGTTGGATAGTCACATCACCTTGGCAGGAATTGTCCTGAGTCAATTGTTGAATTTCTGCTTCTGCAGCACCCGTTGGCCTGTCCTTGCACACACGGCTCAGTGGGATTAGATTCCTACACATCTGATTGTTGCTTGGACACTTTATTTTACTCCTCCTCTCACCAAAATTGTCAAGCCTGTATGCATGTCTAATTGTGTTTACAGCTTGTGCCTTCCAAGACCTTCCTCTTTTCTGTTTGTGACCCTTAGCTCTCTATAGGGCTTCATGCAGGAGGTGTCTCTTGTCTGCAGCTACTCTGAGATATGATTTTGCTTGCAGATCCTTTATGTAATAGTCAGCAGTGTGTGGAAAAAAGAGAGAGCCCAACTTTATGTTCAGAAAGTTAAGAATTGTATATTCAAGGCCATCTTACATTCTGTCCAAGAAAGAGAGAGAGAAAGAGAGAGAGAGAGAGAGCCACAGATACACACAGACACACACATGTATACATTCGCATATATATATGTATACATTTATGTATCTTGTTATCTTATAAGAATGTAATTTGTAATGTAACATGTTCTCTACACAGCTGGTAGATACAAAGTCAGGGGACAAGAAGACAACATTGATGGATTTCTTGGCTTTGACTGTACATGACAAGTTCCCTGACCTCCTCAATTTTGACTCTGAGCTCCGTTTTCTGGACAAAGCAGCCGTTGGTAAGTGCCTCATAGTCAGTGTTTAATTGTTTAAGTATTGTTTCCATTATTCTGTTGTTAATTTACAGTATACAGTAAAACCACATTAACATAAATTTCAAGAGACTGAAAGAAGTTAAAAGATTGTTGCTAATGGAGGACCTCTTATTCTTTGCATTCACTGGCTGTAAACTGACGGAAAGTTCTAGTTGTTTGTCCACTTCTGGACTTAGCCTTGTTTCAGAATCTGAAGTGTTGCATGTACATCTGTTTTACAGATCTGGCTTATTTGTGTGCACGCTATTGGTTCCTCACCTCTCAGGCATTTCAACTTCTATGGAAACACCTATAAATAGTCAACTTCTACAACACACTTGTCACTGGGTATATTCCTTTTTTTTTGTCTTTCTTAAAATCTGATTTTAACCCATGCAGGAAAATCAGGAACTAATATTAATACATGCCTTGAGTGACAAAATTGTATTCATGTTAACCGAGTGTTCTTCTTAAGCGAGTTCATGTTAACAAGGTTTTATGGTAGCTACTTTTATTTGTCTTTGCTGTTTTTTGTTTACATCAACATTGAAATTCCCATGTTTCTATTTATTCCATTCAGATATATATATATATATATATATTATATATATATATATATATATATATATATATATATATATATATATATATATATATATCATTTTGTGTGTGTGTGTGCATATCTTATTAATTACATTTTTTTCTGCCTTTTTTTGAATTTATTCGCTAAGTTTCTCATTTGACTGCAAGTTGGAACTTTTCAAAACATTAAACAAGGTGTAAGACGGGGATGTGTACTATCACCGGATTTATGTAACCTGTACAGTGAAATAATAATTAGATCCATACGTGGCATGCCAGGAATATCAGTTTTTGGGCATATTGTTAACCTCAGATATGCTGACGATATAGTTTTGAACGCTGAAAATGTAATACAACTGCAATAAATGATGGATATAATTGTAACGGAAAGTGAAAACAAGGGTCTCAGTTGGAACAGCAGAAATACGGACGTAATGATAATTACAGAGAAAACTGACCCTACACAATGCAGCATCAAAGTAAATGAGATAGCAAGCTGATATGTTTAAGTACTTGGGTACCCTGATAACATCATACGGAAGGCAGCATTTTACAAAATAAAGAATATGTTATGCAATTTTTCTTTGTCTATTGAGACGAGAAGGAGAATTCTTTAAAGTTATATAAATCCTATATTGATAAATGGAAGTGAATCATGGACAGTTAGTAAATTAGTGACAACTTTTTTTGGGTAGCTGCGGAGATGTGGTTTTATAAATGAATGATGAAAATACCCTGAACAGATAAAAATAGATAATCTACATTCTTTGGTCATGTGATGAGAAAGAAGGAGAAAATTGGAGTACACCATGACAGTAGGAAAGTTGGAGGGAAGGAGAAGCAGAGGGAGACCGAGAGAAAAGATGAACAGTTTGACATCAAGGCATGGAGGATCATCTGTGTCAGAGTTGATTGAAAGTACACGAGACAGAAGGTTGTGGATAGACATGACTACCTACATCACATGGCATGGACTTGAAGAATAATAGTGTTGGCAGCAGAATATTCCCTGACTGTGTTTTCTAGGTGTTCAACAATTGAGGTACAAATGAGAAATAATATTTTTGTTGTTTAAATTCCTGGAGCTGAATCAGTTAACAATGAGTCATCTTTAAATAATGAGTAATTTTATAATGAGTATGCCGTTGCATTGAAAGACAGACAGTGAAGGACGTGGTTTGGCCATCTAATAAGAATGCAGCTGGACCAAACTGTATATGAAACCTGCAGCAGAATATCTAGGTAGAAGGTGAGAGGAAGACCAAGCAAGAAATGGATAGACAGCATAACAAAATCCTGCAAAAAAAGATTAACAAAACCCTCACTCAAGCTACCTGAGAACTGCGATGAAAATCGCAGCATTAGGCTTCAACGCAGTAACAGTGTGATAAAAAAAGAAACCACTCATAGTGTTGAGTATGTGGTTAATTATGAGTATTCAATAAGTAATAAGTAAACTGTTAGTAATGAGTAAGTAAAGTAAAGCAAAGCTTGGGACCCTTTTCAATGCTTTCAGGCATATTGGGCACATAGTCAAGTTATTTAAAAAAAATAAAGAACCCTTATCCACGCCTTAAAGCGTTTTGAGCATGCAGTACTAGACCTATGTTTCATAGACCAGTTGGCACTTGACAGGTGATGAGTTGGCTGCCTTGACTTTCCAGGACATTACCTCATACCCATTTTATGGCTGGGGAGCCAATGTCATTTTTGAAAAACGTCTGGCTTTGTTTGGATTTGAACCCATGACCTTCGGATCTGCATGTGAACGTAGTAATTAGTATATAATTAGTAAATAATATTCTGACCTTTTTTGTCCAGTATCCATGGAGAACATCAACACTGACATCCATGAACTGGAGCGAGGGATGGAGCTGACAAAACGAGAATCAATCCTTCGTAAGGACTCCCGTGACTACCCACCCATCCTCAAGGATTTCCTCTCAGGTGCAGAAGATGTGTTCAAGAAGCTGATTGGAGATGTCAAAACAGCTCAAGTAAGTTTGCTTCAATTAGCTACTGTTTTACTGACATCAGAATCATCATCATAGCGTACCAGGTATACCTATAGCTGCTTTATCTCCCACTGCAGATGTCTTAACTCTTTCTGGCCCATGAATTTGACAGACTTGGCTCAAATTAATTTCCCTTTACAAAAATGGCAGAAGGATGGTGCTAAAAAAAAAAAAGATAAAGGCAACTGAGAATGTAATATGTTTCTAATCCCTACTGAAAGATATGTTTAAAAAAAAAGAGGAATGAATGTACATTTTGAATCTGATGAAATATTTTATATAATTAGTAGGAAAAAAGAATTCAGCAGGTGTTATGTTTACAAGGACAAAAGGTGAATTTTCGGCCTGTGTGTATGTTTTGAACATGGCCAGTTAAAGAGAAAAAATGCGCTGTCTGGAACATGACACTAACAATGAATCAGATCAATTTGCGCCCACGTGTGTGCGAATGAAGATCTGTATACAAGGAAAAATATCAGAGTAACCTTCCATGAATACTTTAATGGTAGTTCCAAACATTAGAAACGAATCAGGAGCTGTTTGAGAATCAATATGTACGGTACAAACGACCGACGCTGACAGTGTTGTTTGGGCAAACTGGAACTTCTCAGTCAACAGTCACAACATTGCTCGGGCCCTAAAGAGTTCAGGCAGGGCTATTCAAGTAAATTTACTCCGGAGCCAAAGTGTTGAAAATTGGGACCATCCACTTCAGGACTAGTCTTATTCCAGAACTGGAATTTTGCATGCACATCCATTTCACAGATCTATCTTATTTGTATGCAGACTGTTAGTTCCTCATCACTCATGCAGATGCACTTTGACTTCAGAGGAAACACCCCTAATTAATTGAATTTAATGACATGCATTCTGTTCTTTTCCCCCACAATGGCGCCCTGGAAACCACACAGGGAATCTACAGCAAAGGACTTCAGGGGTTTAGAATGCTAAGAAGAATAAAACAGAAGATAATGTCAGCCATCATTTACCTTTATTTCCCAAACCTTTCCTTGCTGATTTTTAAGCTGGATTGCTCTTAGAGCCCAAGTCACTGTTTAAAATTGTTGATGGTTTGAACACATAACTTCCCGTGTGGGTGCCGGGGCCCCATTTGGTGAAGGGTCAGGGAGGAATAGACCCACTGCCTCGTAAAATGCCATCAGTTTTGGATTTTCCATCCAAAGTCGGAGCTCATCTGCGTGAGCGGTGAGGAACCAGCAGTCTGCATACAAGTAAGCCAGGCATGTAAACCGGACATGCACACCAAACTGAAGTTGTGGTATAAGACTGAAGTCCAGAAGTAGAAGAACAACCAGAACTTTCAGCCGAAGTTTAAAGCCAGTGGACACAAAGAAGAAGAAGAACACACAACAACTACATAAGCTTGCAAGTGTACTAGTCAGTGCACGCTGTCGTTGTTTTACTTTCATACATTTATTTACTTCCAAAACAATCAGTTGCAATTTTGAATTTGAAAAAAAAAAAATAATAGAAACCTGTCTGTTGATAGAGCTCCTGTAGTGTAGCAGCTGGATGCTTTCCTGCTGGTCTAAACGCCTTAGGTTCGAATCTGCAAATTTGATCCCCCTCCCCCCAGAATTGATCATCTGGAATAATTCACCTTATCTTGTCTGATATATACTACACAAATTATAACAATATAAAACAGAGATAGAAATTGTTGTTTTGTTGTACCCTCTAAGTTTAAATTGGCCAGCATGTCAGAGAGATGTATGAGAGCGTTATCATTGCATACAAACAACTGGATAACATCTGATAAATGCACAGAGAGGAGGAGAATAGAAGTGCTTCATCCATTTAGTGAGAATAGAATATGAAAACCCAGGAAGGCTAACCCAGTTAACAAATGCCTGAAGAAGTTGGATGTGCTGGCCGAAAGCTGAAAATATCGCAGCCATGCTGTAAATGGACTCATGGCATTTATGTCTTCAGATGAAAACAGAAGAAGATGACAAATATGAAAACTATCTCTTGATGCCTAAAACTGTTGAAGAATGGGTTTCAGAGGAAGTTAAATAAAGAATTTGCTATGTCCTGATCTTGTTAGTTCTTGTGACTGTTTTTAGCATTAGATATGAGTTGCGGAATTCTGTTCTTGCAGGATGCCTACAAGAAGGTGGTTGAGTTCTATGGAGAAAATCCGAGGAGTATCTCTCCGGCTCAGTTCTTTTCACAGATTGTTAGATTTGTGAACAGTTTTAAGGTTGGTCGTGTTCATATCTCTCTCTCACTCTCTCTCTGTGTCTCTCTCTCTCTGTCTCTCTGTTTTTCTCTCTCTCTCTCTCTCTCTCTCTCTCTCTCTCTCTCTCTCTCTCTCTCTCTCTCTCTCTCTCTCTCTCTCTCTCTCTCTCTCTCTCTCTCTCTCTCTCTCTCTCTCTCTCTCTCTCTCTCTTCTCTCTCTCTCTCTCTCTCTCTCTCCGCTCTCCCTCCCTCTTCTCTCTCTCTCTCTACCTCTCTCTCTCTCCCTCCCTCCCTCTTCTCCCTCTCTCTCTCCCTCTCCCCCTCCCTCCTTCCCTCCCCTCCCTCCCTCCTCCTCCTCTAACAGGCATTGGTACTCTGAAAAACGAGTGCTTCGAAGGGCCGAATGTCAGATGGGCCTGCATACCCAATTTGTAACCCTTCGAAAATAAAGTTTGTTCGTTCGTTTAGTTCATTCCTCATCCTCCTTCCTTCTTCCTCCTCTCCCTCTTCCAGAGATCCTTTTTTGCTTCTGATGAAAAGCCCTTTTGGAATAAGCAATAGTGCAGAAGCACAAATCAATAATCATGGGTCTGAAGAGAATGGTGCAGCACATACTGACCAGGGTATCTGGCTGTCACTCAACACTCGGAGGAAAGGCAAAATAGACTTATATATATATATAATCAGACTTCTCCTGGTACCATCAGAACTGGGTTGATTCTATGTTGATTGAAATAATCAAATGTCTTGTGCCCCTTATTGAAATCTTTGACTGCTGTGGAATGCTCACCTAAATCCACCAGTCTGGACAGGGATACTGATTCTTGCTTGTTGTTGTAATCATCTTTGCTATATAAAGAGTAAGGGACCCTTTACCACGCCTTCAGGCAATGGGGCATATAGTGTTTGACCTATTTTTTTGATAGACCAATTGGCATTTGGTTGGTGATGGGGTCAGCATCACTCCGGTTGCCTTTACTTCCCAGGAATACACCTGGTACCCACTCAAGACTGGATCAGCCTGAGAGCCAAGGTCATTTTGTTTTAAAAGTCCTACTCCATCAGGACCTGAACCCATGACCTCGGATTCGCTACACCACCGTGACTTCTTTGCTATTTGCATAGAGTTGAATATCACTGTATCCAATAATGGCCCAGTCAATTTAGCCACATTGTCTGCCAGATAATCTGCACTGTCGTTGCCTTTAATACCTGCATGGTCCGATTTGAAGATGAAGGTTAGGCGAGTTAATCATGATTCCATCCATTCTTGTCTGAAGGATTTTCTTGAGCAAATGGGAGTGAACTCTTGAGTTACCCAGCCCTGCCAGTGTCTTTGTTACAGTCATGGTAGACATAAAGTGTAGTTTAGAGACCCTTGTCAGTGATCTTATGGATGCCATGATTGTATTCAGGTAAGAAAGGGGCTTATTTCTATGACTTAAATGTTTTGTCTCTGACTAAAGGTTTGTAACTAGAACAAACCATTTAATAATGTTTGTTGAAGCAATTAGGAGGAGATAATTAGAGAGTGAAGTGATATGGTGGTCAGCTACATATGATTGTAAAAGATAGGACACCTTCGCCCGTATATGTAAAGGGCCTTTATTCCATTGGTTGATAATAAACAGAAGAAGAAGAATAGAACCTATATATGTTGTCTTTCTCCCCACTGCAGCAATCATTACAAGAGAATGAGAGAAGGAAAAAGCTGGAGTATGGTTTGATGGAGCCTGATGTGCAGCCATCCAAGAAGAAGGATAAAAAGATGACACAGGTGGGTGCCTTCATTGAGTTTTGTATTCTCCAGCAGTCTCTGACCATGCATTTAGTCCACTGTGAGCCAGTAACTGGGATGTTAGCTCGAGGTCTCTTAGGTCTCCTGAAAGAAAGTTCTCAGGTCTACTGAATGTAGCCACATGTTGTTTGACCTCACTTCCAGGAGGGGACAGTCTTGCAGGACATGTTCTTGGGCAGATTCACCATGAAGACCCTGGTAAAGAGCAGTATAGGACATACTTAATTTACAGGCCTATTTGTTGAGCCTGTCTTGTGCAGAAGTACAAAATTGTGATGTGGTCTGAACATATTTTGAGAGTATGTATTTGCTTTGCATGTGAAATGTTCGCAAAAAAAAAAAAAAAAAAAAAGTGGGTTGTCTGTATGTTAGCCCCCCCCCCCCCCCCCCCCCCCCATCCCCCTGGAATGACTCTCTGTTCTCTTCTATCTGGTTCTCGTCATTGCACAATTTCTATTTCACGCACCGACATCACACGACGAGCAGAAAATGGACGACTGGTAAAAAACACGAGACTGTTTCTGTACTTTATTTTTCCACTCGCGGCTTCCTCAGCCGGCACATGAAATAGACTACTGTCCAAACATATATTGAATCTCAAAATACATCACTTTACCTTTTAGCCGAAATCACAATCGTCCTACAGAAACTAACACGGCTGGCAGACATCTTGTCTGCGCGCTCATTTTGCCAAGTTGCACGTTGGAACGACTCTCACTCTCAAACACATGTTGGATCCACACACCTTCCACCGCTGTCCATGCACTCCGTTCCAGGATCCAAACGAGACTGACTACCAGCCCTTTCTAAGGCATTATATAGCCTTCTAATGCCCCTCTTCATACTCCCGAATTATCCGTGTTCCCTTAATTTCTACGAATTCCATTTGGCCAGCAGTTTTTGTGTGACCCCCGTGAATAATTATACTTCAAATGAAGTTTGACTGTCAGCATTTCTCTACACGGGAATAATTATACTTCACATGAAGTTTGACTGTCACCCTTTTCTCTACAACTCACGTGCTGTCCCAGTTAGACTCAAAATATTCCACTCACATTTATTACTGACGTCATTCCGTCTAAGACATAATTTATCTAGGAGAAAATGAGACTTACTACCCCCCCCCCCCCCTTTCCTCTCCCCAAAAAAGCTCCAAGTAATGCATGTAGATGCATAGTTTCGACATATATAAAATACAGAACAAATATCGCTGACTTTTAAGTGTTTTTTTTTTTAAATTGCAAGATCACTGTACGAGCCATCATGATACGGTTTAGTATCATCTTTACATTGCATGTTAACTAATGATTTCTTCTAGTTTTGTCTCTTGATATTTTCCGAGTACCTATGTAGCGTTGTCTTCCTTTCTCCTCCACTAATAATGAGCACGGTGTCCCTTTGTTTGCACACAATTCTTTAATTGTGTGACCTTTCTGCAGAAAGACGTTGATGGATGTTCTGTTTGGCTTTTGTTGGCGCAGGAAATGAACAGCTATGGGATGACCTGTTTGCTATGAAGTTGAAACTGGTTACCTGGTAATATTCTGGGAAGTAAAGGCTTGATGTGCATGAACTCTGTACCTTATGTATCACTGGGTTGAAAAGAATAATTGACCTTACAGTGGATATCTCAGGACTTCCATAGTGTTATCTTTTTTCTACTTTACTGTGGATGCCTCATGACTCCCTTAGTGTTATCTAATTACTACTTTACTGTGGATGCCTCATGACTCCCTTAGTGTTATTTGATTTGTACTTTACTGCGGATGCCTCAGCACTTCCTTAGTGTTATCTGATTTGTACTTTACTGTTGATGCCTCAGGACTTAATTAGTGTTATCTGATTTCTACTTTACTGCGGATGCCTCAGCACTTCCTTAGTGTTATTTGATTTCTACTTACAGTGGATGCCTCATGACTCCCTTAGTGTTATCTGATTTGTACCAAACTGTGGATGCCTCAAGACTCCCTTAGTTCTATCTGATTTCTAATTTATTGTGGATGCCTCGGATTTTCCTAGTGTTATATGATATCTTGTGTAGCATTTCCTTTCATTGTGATGGTCACCACAAATGTTAAATGTTTTCCAGATGAACTGTAACTCTGTTTATTTTATGTTTTATTATCTCATAAAGAAGCAGACTTTGTTTTATAAGATATGCCACACTGTTTTTTTTAAATATATTGATATTAGTTTTATATCTTCTTGATGTTGTCTTCTTATTCTTCTTTTGCGTTCATTGGCTGTTAGCTCTGATGGAAAGTTCTGGTTGTTCATCTATTTCTGGACTTTAGTCTTGTTCCAGACTTGAGTTTTGCAGAAAAGATCTTGGTTATTTGTATGCAGACTCTTGTTTCCTCGCCTCTCAGGCAGATGTACTCCAACCTAGAAGAAAAAAAACCTAATTAGTTAGCTTTTAGGACGTTTTTGTTGTTTAACAAACAAACACAACGATTATGAAAAAGATGAACTTCTCACATCATTGAGTGTATTGGGTATATAGTGCATGGAACATAGTTTTTGGTGAATTGCCACTCGCTTGGTAATATTTTCAGGATAGGCATGGTCTTCCTCTACTTCCCAAGTTATTACTTGATATCCAGTTTAGATTGGTTCAATCTGGGGAGCCCAGACCAGTGATACAAATGCCTTATCAGTGGGGATTCAAACTTATGACTTGAACACATGACTACTGGGCCAGCAGGCCAGCATGCTGTGCATAGTTATATAGTAGTAGCCCCCTATTTTTAGACCAGTCACTTGTGGTAATTCACTTTCTTATTGTAATATTTCTGCTCTGTCTCTCTCTTTAGTGATCAAATGTTAACCTCACTTTCTGTGTTATTGAATGTCCTTACCCAAGTAAGTATGAACATTGTTGGCTTTGTTGGCACCTTTCCATCTATCGAGAGGGTATTGGGTGCTTTTCCAATATCTCCCCCCAAGATGACATCACAGGACAGTTCAGTATTTTCGAGGGTGGTAAGAGCAGGTGTCCCGGCATTCTGATGCTTTTAACTATCCCTAAACATCTAGAAATGGGCCTAACCCGAACCCACCTACATTCCACGAGAGAGTGCAGCCTGGGTCCCACGACTGCATGCAGCCTAGATCCAGCAACTGCATGCAGCCTATCTACCACCTCATAAAACATTGGACTGTCTGTCTGGAGGGAGATATTGGGATAGAACCTATTGTTTTATTGTGCTATGGGGAGGCATGGG